TTAACATAATTAAAAACTCAGATCATATTTTGTACAACAAACTATAAGGTGAGGAGGATATGTGACGATTAAAAAGAGCTAACGGACTAACGGACTAATGACAGACTGAGTTCTGGTAGAGGAAGCTAAGGTTGAGGTAATGATAGTGCAGCTCCATGGTGCTGACCTTGTATTTACGCAGAACAGCCTCTTATCAATCAATCAATCAAAGCTTTATTTATAAAGCGCCTTCCGCAACCCTGTCAGGAAGCCCAAAGCGCTGAACATGGTACAGTTGTAAGTAAGTATACTGAATAAATCAACAATAAAAGAAATTCAAATTACAAAATACAAAATGGAAATAACAAGATAGATGAAACATTCCGGTAAAGGACAAATGTGTGAAACACATTTGGATTGAGTGGATGGATTGAGTGTACCAATGAAAACTGTGGAATGGATTCAACATAATAGAGGGCCATAATCAAACATGTTCTGGAAACGCCAAGCGGAGGAGGTGTGTTTTTAGGTGATTCTTAAAGACTGGCAGAGATGGGGACAGCCTAACTGAGGGTGGCAACTGGTTCCAGAGTAACGGTGCTGGGACTGAGAAAGCCCGGTCCCCACGGGTACGACACCTAGACCGAGGGACAGCGAGCAGGCCTTGGTCAGAGGAGCGCAGAGCGCGTGATGGGGAATGTCTGTTCAGGAGAGTGGCTAGATAGGGGGGACCACCACCCTGGAAGAAATGATAAACAAAGACGAGGATTTTGAATTGTGAGCGATAGGAAATCGGAAGCCAGTGCAGGGAGGCCAGAACTGGACTGATGTGGTCCCGTTTCCTGGTCCCAGTCAGGAACCTGGCAGCGCTGTTCTGCACAACCTGTAGGCGACGCAGTGTTGACTGACACAACCCTGCATAGAGAGAGCTGCAGTAGTCAAGCCGAGAAATTACAAAGGCATGCAGTACCCGCTCCAGGTGGGCTCTCGACAGCATAGGCTTGATTTTAGCAAGGTCTTATCTGCAGTGCTGTCCGATTTAACAGACAAATGAGTCCAAAGATGAAGAATGATTTTTTTTCTAATTACGTTTATTAATATGATGTATGAGGGAATATTATTATAAACAGTAAACTAATAGTAATGAGGGGGTTGTCAAAAAATGCTTACATCAGAGGAATCTGATCTGATAAGTGGAAAACCTGAGGGTGAAGGACAATAGAAAGAGATATAATCAGTGTGTCAACAAACAGGTGAGAAAGGCCAAAAGCGCATGACACAGGTCAGCAGGCAGAGCAAATGTTCAGGAACAAAGTGGGTGAGAAAGAAAGGGGTTCGGGAAGTACATTTAGGAAAAAAACGCAAGAAGCAGGTTGTATTTAGAGTAAGATGTGTTTACTCAACAGATTAGTCATTATAATACCTCGTTACTTTTGTCTGGAGAAGGAGGGACTGACTGACAGGCAGAGAGCGAAAGACTAAGAAAGGGCAAATCATCTCAGTGTTTGTCAGGTGAAGGTGGGACTGACTGATGGGAGGGGATCAGAGACGGGGAGGAGGAGAAAGCACGGAGGTGACAAAGGGAAGGGAAGAGAAAGGTGAGGGTGAGGTATGTGTCGAAAAAAATGAGGAAGAAGAAGTTGTTTTGACGGCTTGAAGGTGCGACTGACTGACTTGACTAAACGCCGACAATGAGCTCTTCCTTTGGAGCATTACTCACAGATGGGGAGGGTGAGGAAGAACAGTTAGCATTAACATCAGTAATTACTGTTTTTATCCTTGGCGTCACGATCAAAGACGGTCAATCTGACACATATGCACACACACACACACACACACGCACAAATAGACATGTCCATTCACCAGGTGTTGGCTTGTTCCTCGCAGGCACGGTAACCATTACGTTGTCAGACAAATGATGAGCTCACACTGTTCCTGCCACACTTCCAGGAAAGATTAGCTTGTTGTGATCAGCTTCTGTCTAAGATTAAACGATGCTGCAAAAAGACCACTGAGTGAAATTCTGAAAAAGGACAAATTTAATAGAAGTGATCAAAAACAATGAAATGAAAAAATTATTCTGTTTGTCAATTTAAATGTTATAGTACAATTTTCAGTGTTCAGCCTTAATAACAACCTGCTATTGTTTTGTTCAATTATTGGACTGAGCTTTATAAATTAAAGTTGTAAATTGAGAAGATTATGTTTTTAACTTCATGAGCAGGATGCACTAGAGAATGAAACCCAGGTTTCCTTTGAATTTGTTTTGTTAGAAATGTTCTAATACCTGCAATGTATCTACTTCAACTGAAGAAAATATTTAAAGGAGCAATATGTAAAAGATCTACAATGAAGTCATCTTGTCGAAAGGATGGTTACATTAAAACAAGCTTCCTTCTCAGCCAAATGGGGGGTTGTTTGTTTTTCTCCTTTAACAAACTGAAGGGACGTAGTCACTGTTTACAATCTTTGAGCCCATAAGGTTGCCGAGTCTGTGCCAAGCTAACGCTGCAACTCCACCATTTTTCATTCAATAACAGCAGGCAAAAAGCTCCAGAGTTGTTTAAAGAGCCAAAGGTAGTAAACAGAAGCGACCCAGAAGTTATTTCTTGTAACCTTAAGAAGCCATGGCATCCTTTTGTTTAACTCTATTATTGGGTGAAGAAGGCTAGATGCCAATGTTGAGCTAACAATGTTAATGGTGAAGCAGTTAGTAGGGTCTAAAAATATCTCAAGCTATTTTTTCAATTGTCAACAACTCGATATTACAGTGAAATGTATGTGTGAAGTGAACAATGAGTCAATCGTGGCATTTTACTTCTTTTAATGAGTTATTCAAAACTATAACAGCAACTATAACCATAATAATTAAGTGCTCTTTACCGATAAACACCCAAGAGCGCTAACAGTAGATATCAACTTAATGTGTGTAAGTCTTCTTCACTTGACATCTAAAATCTTCTGGTGCTGATGCAGATCTGTCAACAGCCATGAAATTCACAGAACCGTAGTGAAAAAATTATATTTTTTTTAATGAAAATGGGCTGCAGAAACCAAATTGGGCCACCTGATGTTCTCGCTTTGTTCTTACATATTGCACCTTTAATATACTTCAGCTATGCCTTTAGTGGTTTTAGTAAATGCTAATTGCAGTATTTGTTAGAAACAAAGTGAAGTTTAAAATTTGATATTTTAAGTGTTACACAATATATGACACAAAACTGTTGATTTTCTACTTACATCAAAAATTCAAATGACCAAAGCGGGTAGAATGTTAGGACATGTGTGGTATATACAAGCTCTGTTATCAGAGAACTGAGGACATGTGTGGTATATACAAGCTCTGTTATCAGAGAACTGAGGACATGTGTGGTATATACAAGCTCTGTTATCAGAGAACTGAGGACATGTGTGGTATATACAAGCTCTGTTATCAGAGAACTGAGGACATGTGTGGTATATACAAGCTCTGTTATCAGAGAACTGAGGACATGTGTGGTATATACAAGCTCTGTTATCAGAGAACTGACTTGTTAATAAATCTATTATTTGACACGTCTTTGTTACTGATCTGAATTCTAACCCATAGAAAAGCAATAACCTAAACATTAGCCCACATGACCTGATCCGTCGAAGCCACGTGTGTGTGTGTGTGTGTGTGTGTGTGTGTGTGTGTGTGTGTGTGTGTGTGTGTGTGTGGGTGTGTGTGTTCAACTGTCAGAGCTAATTTGTTGATCATGTGTAATGTAGTTTCCTGTAGATTTTTAATAAGCTGTAAAAGGAAAACATCCTGAAAACTGGAGTCCCAGAAGAAGAGAGGAAACTAATTAAGAGGGACAGAATCACCATCTGGAAGCTGTTTAGTTGTCTGAACAGCTCATGTGTCATAAAGACATCAGTAATGTGTCAGTTTAAAGATAAAAGAGCAAAAGTGTCTTTATGCAGTTTGTTCATAATTATAGGCTCTATCAAAACACCCTCCAGTACTGGAGACAAGGAAAACAAGACAATAAAATTATAAATTTGCAACTTTTTTATTCTTAGCTTTTGTATAAAGAAAATCTTCTACTAAAACTACATGCAAAGAATTGCATCAGAAATCCTCAAAAACCTTAAGACCACTAAATCTGCTCAGTGCCCCAAAGAAAAATTTAGTCTGTTTCCTTTTCCCCTGAGTTAAATAAGTAGGTATAACAGTTTGTAACCAGCACAGTCACTCTCCTAATCTGGCTGTATTCACCTAGCTTTAGCTTAGCATAAACATTGCTGCAAGGCACAAGGACACACTTAATGTAAGTGAATGGGTGACGCAGCAACGGGACATCTGGCAGACATGGACTCTTTCGAGTTTACTGTATAACATTTACAACATTTGACCTTAATGACAGTTAGTTGGACTTTTGGGGCATTTGTGTCATGTGCCTTGCAGCGACGGCTTACTGCGGAGTTTTGTCGTAATGCATTCCCAAGTCCTAAATCAGCTCCTGTAATTGCTTCGTGTTACTTGTTATTTTAATTTGCAGTTGATGATTATTGAGGTCACCAAGAAAAATTTGGATCATTATTGAGTCATTTTAATGGCCTTTTCATATAAAATGCAAGCTGTTACCATTCACATTGTTTATGCTAAGCTAAATCTAACAGAATACTGCCAGATTAGGAGAATGACTGGGCTGATTACAAAATGCTTTAGCCCACTAATCTAACTCTGGGGAAATGACAACAGACTAAATTTCACTTTGGGGTAAAATATCCCATTAAGAACAATCAAGCTGTTTAACCTACAGAAGTACACATAATTAAAGTCCCAGTTTGTGTCAAAAATGTTAATTTTACACTGCACACAGTTTGAAGACTTTTTCTGATTCATTATAATTTTACCTGTTAAAATATCTGAAGTCTTCTCTGTCTGCAACTGAGCTGTGGACATTTTTGTTGCAGGAGAGATGCACAGAAAAAAGTTGTGTTAACTTTCTCTACCCATGTTTGACATTTTCTTCTTGTCCCACATTGGACTTTAGGATTTTACCCTTGAGGTAGAACCACAAATGGCATCGTGGTGATGATGATCAGAATGACATGAGATTTTTAATTTAATCTGATGTTGGGGTACTTCTGTGCATGGCCAAGGATCTTGCTGGGGGGGGGGGGGGGGGGGCATGGCAGAAACTGATAAAGAAGCTTCTGAGGTCCTCTCTTTTTCCTCGCACAGTTTGTCCAACTACTCAGTGTTGGAAAGGGTAAAGTCGTGTTAATTAACAGTTATTGAGCAAGTAAACCATTTGAGTAGACCAGGATAGAACACACAAACGCTTGAAGGAAACAGAAAATAGTTGCAAAGGTGATCGCTGACATGACTGATGGAAAAAGGTGGAAACAGCTCAGATTTTTTTGCATCTGTGCTTGTGTGGGTTTTGTGTAGTGCTGCTGTTTGTGTTTCTGTTTCTGTGTGACTCGTGACTCTAAAGAGAAATGCATGAAATGTAGTTTTAATGTGTCTGTTTGTTTGTTAGCTTTATATTATTCATCAAAGTCCTGCCTACATCTAGAGGTGACTGGATGCAGGCATGCGGCTGTTTCTTTGGGCTGCTACCTGACCACTTGTCTCTTGTCCTTGTGTCCATATCAACTTGTCTGTCAGCTGCAACAACACTCCACCAGTCTGGACTGCATAGCTCTAGATTTAAAGGGGACATATGCCAACCTCACTGTTTGCATCTTTTGTGCGTCTCTACTACCTTTGTAAACACTTTAAATGTAAAAAAAAATAAAATAAAAAAACATTCATCTAGTTTCTTTTAGTGTTTGATTTCAGGAATTATAAAACAAGCCATCCATTTGTGTCCTCATAAACAGGTAGAGTAGAATCACCTCTTATGTACGAGAGAGAGCTGCTGCTGGAGGAACAGCTGCTTTACTCAGAGCCCCTCCTGAATATCAGAGCTTCTCAGCTTATAGCTGCCTAACGGAGTGGGGGGATGGATGGGCGTGGCCAGCTCCAACTTGTTTTTGTAAGCCTTGGACCCACTGCAGGGTTTGGGATGGGACAGGGTGGGGTGGGTCATCGTCGGCCAGCGTGAACCGTTATGGGTCTGCCATTTCAGTTTGGGCTCTCATGTTAGCAGGCGGGGTGAAATGTACAGTCATGCGAGATTTTATACATAATTTGTGAAACTTTTTAGTAATTTTTGCTGCAATGAATGGTATGCAGAGCTAAAGATAAAAAAGAATTGCTTACCAACGTGCTCCAGCTTCACACGTGACCCCGGGTCTCTGAGTCCAGGTCTGCCTCGCTGCCTCGGTTAGCCGGTCTTTGGTTATAAATAGCGTCCAGCGTGTAGTAGCGCCTCCATGAATTTCCCCCGTTTCCACTCCGGTTGTTTCTGTCCTTAACTTTTCTGTATTGGTCTGTTCGTTTCTTCAGCTTGGCCCGGCACCGTTCCAACATCCACTCAAATCCTTCGACTCCCATCCACTGACAAACTTCTTTAAAGTCTTGCATTCCTTACCGATCCGTATCGTCCTGAGTTTGGACTGCAAATGATGATGGCGAGGAATGTACGGAGCCCTACAGCTGACTAAGCCTCACTGCTACTTGCTGTTTTTTCTCACATCTGTGTACAACTAATGAAAACACAACTTAACTCCAAGGTTTGTTTTGCTTTTTGCAATAGTGACATAATTATGTCCCCCACTCAGTGGACCGTGTTGTCGCTCTGCCCTAACCGTACCGCTCCACAAAGATTTAAACGTACGACAGAAGGGGGCCATGATGGCTGTGTGGACTGGTTTTATAATCGGGACAGAAAAGTTAGCGAGCTGACCCTCCCTAAACCTGGCGGAGGAACCGAGGTATTAACGTTACAGAGCCCTTAAACGACTCATTCTGGAAGGTACTTAAAATGTAGAGAATTGAACTGCTGAAATTGTTTTATGTGAGAGGGACTTGTGCAAAAAATATGAACATGATTTTTTAGAACTATTGTTGCTAAAGAAAAAAGGTCAAAGTATGTCTCCTTTAATCTTTAATCTTGGTTGTCTTTTCAAAAATGGTTTACATGTTTGTTTGTTTTTAAAGTCCATTTGTTACTTCATTTTCCATTTGGCTGCCTAGACTGGTGTGTTTGATATCATAAATATCTGAACAGACAACTTTGCCACCCTATTTTTTTTTTTGTTTGTTTTTGCTCTTCCAGTGAATGTTATGCACACATGCAGGAGAATCCTGCTTCCTGCTCGCTCGCCTGCCACTGCAGTGCCAGGTCTGGATTGATGATGGACTCATCCTGCCCACTGCTCCGCTTCCAAAATCCTCTTTTTAAAAATAATCATTAATCATTTCTCTCATTCCTCTTTCTCTGTTAGCGCTCAGACGAGAGCGTCACAATTGACACCACCCTGCTGGTTCATTTCTTTGGAAAGAAAGGAAAAGCAGAGCTCACCTTTGATGACTTTTATAGGTAATTTATAGTGGACCACATAGTACTGACCACACTGAGTCTTTTTTAGTCTCATTGTCTTCACTTTTTTTTCTGCTTCACAGGTTTATGGATAACCTCCAGACTGAAGTGTTGGAGATTGAGTTTCTGACTTATTCAAAAGGAATGACCACCATCAGTGAGGAAGACTTTGCCAAAATCCTGCTGCGTTTTACCAATGTGGAGAACATCAGTGCCTACATGGACAACGTCCGCCAGTGTATTCCTGATGAGAAGGTGCAATGCACACATGCATGTCATTTTTTTTTAACCTCACCTTTAGTCTCTAGTATGAATGAATGACATTTGTTTTCTGGGGGGGCTCTGGCGCTCCTGTTTAGGCAGTTTGCTGGAGGAGTGGGGGTGGGGCAGAAAACGGCAGGATTAGGAGTCTATAATATTCATGTAGCAAACATCTCACCTCTGATTGACTAACAGCATCGTGACTCTTCCACTGCCTCCATTCTTTAATTCTTAGGTAAAAATTGCAACTTTGTTGTTCATCTCTGCAAATAACATGTTTCATCATAACATGGAGTTGCTATTACTAACGGTTAGCTTCAACTAGAAGGGTTCTGCTCTCGCCTGGCTGCTAAATCAGTACAACCTTCCATAGTCGTAACCAAGATGGTGCATGGTGGCGCAGTGGTTAGCACTGTTGCCTCGCAGCACGAAGGTTGCAGGTTGGAAACTCGGCTGCGGCCTTTCTGCGTGGAGTTGCGTGTTCTCCCCATGCATGCGTGGGTTTCCTCCAGGTACTCCGGTTTCCCCCACAGATCACAACATGCCCTACAGGTTATAAGTTGTAAGCCGCTTTGGATAAAAAGCGTCTGCCAAATAAATAAACATAAACAAGATGGGTGAGTCCATGAATGCTAATACCTCCCTGACGAATAAAGGACTGGCTTTTTTCTGACCAGCGAGTTTCCCCTATTTTTTTTTTTACATCCAGCCTGCCTGTGAAACTCAGAGTAACCAACTGTGGTTTGAAAGAGGCTGTTGCTCAGTGAACCTTCTTTTTAAAGGACATGTTTTGAGCACTTAGGATTATTATTTGTTGGATAAAATGAAACAGCTATCCCATTTTTTTCTCTTTCTGCCTTCCAGGCATTCAGACTGCCTGCAATTTCTCTCTGTTGTGTCTGCCTGAGGCTGTTGTTTCTCTCCACACTTCAACGCTCCATTGCTTCACTTGACCTCACACAAACACAAACACACATTTAATGGCACTTCCAGTGACGTGTGAATGTTTTTGTTTTTAACCGGCGTATCTTACTGTGCTAGTTAGAGAGCTAGCTATAGCTAGCCTATGTTGGCACATCCTCCTTATGACCATTTGCAACCCAACTCTATTTCTGTCCCTCCTCTCTTTTCATGCTGTGGAAGAAGCAGGAGGTTTGTCTCTGCCTCAGAAAATGCACAACCTGCAGTTACAATCTGTCACTGTGTCCTTTTTCTTTCTTTGGTTTTTTTTTTCCTCCTCATCTTGTCATTTTTTTGTATTTGATTGTGTAATTCCACACTACTACATTTCTTTAAATGTGTGGCTGGTTAGTTTGAAATTTTAATGTTTATGTTGACTATAATAATTCACAACAAAAAGCATGTGAGATAACTTGCAAACTTTAATTTTGCTTATCGGTTTCAGCCATTCGCTTGACTAAAAATGAGAAATAATTTCTTGCAGGAATAAAATTTCATGTCTCCCTTTTTGGTTAAATAATAGCGGGTCTTGTTTTCCAAATCATGGGGGAAAAAAGTAGCCTGCTGTTTGATTTTTTTTTTTTTTTTGCCACTGATTAAAAGCATGTTTTTTTTTCCTCAAGTTGAACAATATGAATGTGTCACAAGGAATGTTCAATGCACACAAGCTCCCTAATGCTGGAAAAGTCTGCACCAGTCTGAAACCATCATTATTCTAATGTCTAATCACTTTGGTGGATTTTATTCTGTCGCTTGACGTTCACTTGATTTCTCCTCGTTTTGCAGGGAATCACTTTTGATGAGTTCAGATCATTCTTCCAGTTTCTCAACAACCTAGAAGACTTTGCCATCGCCATGCAGATGTACAACTTTGCGTCACGTTCAATTGGACAAGGTAAAAACGTGTTGGGGTTGCAGCTGCTGAAGTCTTCTGTTCAGTTGTCTAGCTTTTTGTGTGAAACAAATAATGAACATAGTTTGATCTTTCCTGCTAGATGAGTTTGCAAGAGCAGTATATGTGGCCACAGGCCTGAAGCTGACCCGACATCTTGTGAACACCATCTTTAAGATCTTTGATGTTGATCACGACGACCAGCTCTCCTACAAGGAGTTCATTGGCATCATGAAGGATCGGCTGCACAGAGGAGCAAGGGTGAGGAACGTTAAGCTTCTCAAATCCTAAACTGCACATTTTATTTATCTATATATATTTTTATTTGGCAAGACTTTCAATTGGTATAGTGCTTTTAAAAACAACAAGCACACCAATGCGATTTTATGAAACAAGATGTCAACGAACTTTATTGATTTGCTAAAAAAAAATAAAAGGAGATCAAATATTTGACTTTCTGTTCATGTTTCGATTGATTTTTGTAATTCAGCCACAGAAAAACAATTTGCTTTGATTGCATTGTATTTGACATCTGATGAATCAAATAAAGAGCATGCATATTACATACAGAAAATTCAAATTATGTATTCTAAAGCAGAATTTGCTCGTTGGGACAGTGGGGTTTGTTAAATCTGACAATAAATCAGTCAAAAATATTGAAAAGTTGTGATACTTTGCTGCCCCCTAGTGGCATTTTAACATCTTTGCATATTGCTGTTGAAGGTTCTCAGTCATCCAGGTCATGCATGGTAAATCAAAAGGGTTCAGATGAAGGCAACTGGACTTCTTTGATTTCTTGAAGCTCTGAAGAGGGACCCGACAAGTGGATACAAGAAGAAAATCACGGACTAGTTACAGAAACTGCCAAAGGACCACACATTTTTCTGCAGACTCTAGGAGAAGCCACCTCATGTATATATGGTCTTTCGAAGATTCACATAGAAGGAACACCACTCAGACCCATTCAACTCGGTCACATACAACTTTGCAAAAAATCTCTGCACCATCCTGCACCTGCTGTTTGGAAAGACCCGACATCATATGAAACCACCAAATTGTTCCCGAGCACGGCCGTGTCTGCAACTCCCCACTCCCCACGGGGATGGTCAAGTGCGGAGGACAGTTTTCACCAGTGACAACTATGGGACTTTAATCTTTAATCATAGGGAGAATTCGGTAGCCTGGCAAGCCAGACTAAATAAATGTATTATTTAGTCTGGCCACACTCCATTGATGGCTCTCGGTTGTGGGGCGGGTTCTACCGTTGTCTTTCAAATGATCTCCGCATTCCACTGGACAATGAATGTGACATACTCTTGTTTCACTCTGTTGCATCATCCCACCCACCAGGCACATAGAGTGCCCTGATTGGCCCACAAAGCGGATAAAGCTCTGTGATTTGTTCACTAAGCAGATAGAGCACGATGATTGGCCCACCATTATGGACCAATCACAGCTCTTTATGTGTTTGAAACCCCTCAAGAGAGCTGTGATTGGCTAGCCAGAGTCCTGGTAGGAGCTGCTGAGGTTCCAATGGAGCATGCCTAGACCAAACTTTGCAAAGCAAGAATTTGGTCTAGTTCACTAGGCTAAGAATTCGGTGGATTTTGCAAGGAAAGTTCAAGATCTCAAACTGCCTCCAGAGGAAATCAGTGGAAGCGGTTACGAAATGGCTAGAACAAGATGATTCCTTAAACAGGAGGACAAAACTGACTCCAGACCAGATCTGAACCCTCCTGGACCTCTGCCTTTCCACCTTCTATTTCAAGCAATGACCAGTTTTATCAGCAGTTTCAAGCAGTATCACCCATCATTGCCAACATTCACATGGAGGAAGTAGAAACCAGAGCATTGAACTCCTACGATGCAACAAAATCAAGCCACTGGTTCAGATATGTAGATGACACATGGGTCAATATTCTCACACAGGAAGTACATCAATGCTGTGGACAAGAACATCAAGTTCATCAGGGAAGAGGCACACATAAACAAACTGCCCTTCTTGGACTGTGCTGTGCAAATTGAACAAGATGAAAGTCTCAGCATTGAAGTCTACAGGAAACCAACCCACACAGAGCAGTATTTGCATTTCGACACACATCACCCACTGGAGCACAAAACGTCAGTCATCAGGACTTTACACCATCGGGCCGAGAACATTTCCACAAAGACTGAAGGAAAGCAAAAGGTTAAGAAACACATCAAGAAAGCTCTCCAAAACTGCAGATATCCTAACTGGGCCTTTGTGAAATCAATAAAGAAGTCTGGAAATGAATTCACAGCAGCAACCAGCAAAGAAAAGGACAACAGGCGCAAAGGCACCGTCATCCTATACGTGGCAGGAGTCTCGGAAAAACTAAGAATTTTCTCCAAACAAAACAACCCGGTAAACTATAAGTGGTATGGTGGCATGATACTACGGAAAAGCGCTACGCCCTCTGGCGGGGAATTGCTTTGCAACCCTCCTTTGCCTGCACAGAAGTTTGCATGTGAGAACCTTTCTGACACCCCATGTGTGTCTCTCCATTGCAGAGCTCACAGAGAAGTATAAATCAGGCTGTACAGCTTATAAGCTTGACTCTCCCATGTTCCAGTCAGAATTGACAAAGCTCCTCGGATGAGAAGCAAAACATCTTCAAGAAAGCAAAGAAGTCTAGTTGCCTTCATCTGAACCCTTTTGGATCCTTGCATGTTTACCAGGGATGTTGCAAACACTAAACTAAAAATGTATTCATGTTAGTCACCTTTTCTTGTTTTGATGCTTTCTTGGCCTTACAGTTTTTTTTCCTCCCTTTGTCTTAATGACTTCCTACCGGCATCCCAGGGCTATAAAGCAGTGGAGCGAGCTTCCTCCTTTAGATCGTGTCTGAAGAAGGAGCTAGCAAGCAGATAAGTAGCAACAAAAATTATGACTTTGGCCATTTTATTGTCTCATTCATCTGTGATCAATTTAATATCTAAACGTGTCCTCACCTTGAGTCCATCATAATGTACACAGAAGACATTCAACTGGAAATAGTATATGATATGAAATTCTTGGGAGTTGTTTTGGATCATATACTGGAAAACTCATCAAATATTTTAAACAAAAAACATTGTAAACGTATTAGACTCTTTAATAAAGTAAAAATGTTTTAGAACAGTTATTCATTCGTTGTTCTATATTTGACTTATTGTTTAGAGATGTGGGGCAACACAGATCCAATAGAACACTATTTGTTTATTCAGAAGATCTCAAAACTAAAGCATTCGGTTGAGTTGAACACTGAATTGGGGTGATTTCTACAGCACAGTTTGTTATGTTTGAAGCTAAAAGGGGACTGTTGTGAAATTATTTGGAGAAGGTTGTTGTTTTATAAACAAGTGATAGGGCCAAAAGAAGGAAGTTTGATTTTAAAGGTACAAGTGAATGAACTACTTTAAAGCACGTGTATTTCAGTGTTTGTAAAATTGAGAAAATACTGTGATAAAGAATTGGGAAAAAAATGCAAATTTAAGGAACAATATCAAAAAATTGTAAGATCTTATGAAATTAGTAGTTATTGCTGAGACTTATTTTGTTTGTGACTCAAGTGAAATGCACTAAAATAAACCGTATGCCCGGTTCAATGTGATGCCTTCATTTAATATGATTTTAAGAAGGATTTGTTGAATTGAAGTACTTCTCGTTGCTTCATCCACTAGGTGAAGGCCCGACTCCATACCTCCGTCTCCAGCTGAGGCCCACAGACAAGTGCACCAGCTACGGAAGAGAAAAAGGGGAAGCCATGGAGGAGGAAACAGATCAGACTCAGCTCTGGTTTTGATTCACCAGCAGCCTGACTGAGTAGCATGGTGTTCATCTCCAGTTTATTTCCAAATCACAAAATAATCACAAGCATGAAAAGTCATTTACATAATACTTAAAAGTAAAAATCATCTCTCCTTTGGTTAGTTTTGTTCCACCATACATATGGGTTCAATGTCAATCGTCTCGTTAGGGTCAATAAATGGATAAACTCTGAGAAGTTCCCTGCTATTAGCCCTTTTTTAATATTAAAATAAGAATTGTGTTGTGTTTATCCCTTAATGAAACACAATTAGAGTTGGAAAAATAATTTGACAGATATGTTGTTTACTTGCTGATAGGCTAAATGCTGCACAACAAGGTATCAACCAAAAAAGCACAAGGGTGAATAAATGTGCGTTATATGTGGCATACAGGTAAATTTTATTACAATGATGGAATTAAAAGGGCACAAAAATTTAAGTTAAAATTGAAAAAATTGTTGAAATAAATGTTTTTTATTTTTTGTCTGTCTTTTTCCACATTTAGTTTAATTTTACTTGTTTTTTATTGCAATGTAAAGATGCAGAACAGCTATTTTGGGATGTTTATGACTTGGATTGTACACTATAAAATATTTAACAAATCACAAAACAGGCAACAAACTAAAACTATGTAATGCCAAGTATAGTTCTAAATTTCATGATCAGTTATGTGTTTCCAAGTTTTATCTGCATGCATGTATGCAAAAAATATGTGCCTTGCAATCGTTCTAATGTGGAACATGTCGACACCACAAAGGGCAGCCTTGGCGGAGTCCAATCTCACTGGGAACGAGCCCGACTTACTGCAGGCAATGCGGACCAAGCTCTGACACCGGTCATACAGGCACCTAACAGCCCATATCAGAGGGCCTGGTACCCCATACTCCCGGAGTACCCCCCCCCCCCCCCCCCCCCCCCCAGGGCCCCCGAGGGACGTGGTCAAACGCTTTCTCCAAATCCGCAAAACACATGTAGAAAGGTTGGGCAAATTCCCACGCACCCTCCAAGATCCCCCTATGGGTATAGAGCTGGTCCAGTGTTCCACGGCCAGGACGAAAACCACATTGCTCCTCCTGAATCTGAGTTTCAACAATCCGACGGACCCTCCTCTCCTGAACCCCTGAATAGACCTTACCAGGAAGGCTCAGGAGTGTGATCCCCCTGTAGTTGGAACACACCCTGCAGTCCCCCTTTTTAAATAAGGGGACCACCACCCCGGTCTGCCAGCAGTGGGACTGCCCCCGATGTCCACACGATATTGCAAAAACCGCGTCAGCCAACACAGCCCCACAACATCCAGAGCCTTAAGGAACTCCGGGTGGATCTCATCCACCCCTGGAGCCTTGCCACAGAGGAGCTTTTTAACCACCTCAGTGACCTCAGCACCAAAGATTTGAGAGGCCAACCCAAAGTCCCCAGACTGCTTCTTCACTGGAAGACGTGTTGGTGGGATTGAGGAGGTCTTCGAAGTATTCTGCCCACCAATCCACAACGTTCTGAGTAGAGGTCAGCAGCACCGTCCCCACTGTGTTGGTAGCGCACTTAGCTGCGGCCTAAGGTATCCTGGTGCCAAGAGCACATATGGACACCTTTATGTCTGAACATGGTGTTCATTATGGACAATCCATGACTGGCACAGAAGTCCAATAACAAAACACCACTCAAATTCAGATCAGGGGGACCATTCCTCCCAACCACACCTCTCCAGGTCTCACTGTCGTTGCCCACGTGAGCGTTAAAGTCTCCCAACAGAACGAGGGAGTCACCGGAAGGAGCACTTTCCAGCACCCCCTCCAAGATCTCCAAAAAGGGTGGGTAGTCTGAACTATAGTTTGGTGCATAAGCACAGACCACAGTCAGAACCCGTCCCCCCACACGTAGGCGGAGGGAGGCTACCCTATTCATCGGGGTAAACCCCAACGTACAGGCATCAAGATGGGGGGCAACTAGTATGCCCACCCCTGCTCGGCGCCTCTCAATAGCAGCAACTCCAGAGTGGTAGAAAGTCCAACCCCTCTCAAGGAAACTGGTTCCAGAGCCAGAGCCATGCGTTGAGGTGAGTCCGACTATATCTAGTCGGAGCCTCTCAACCTCACACACCAACACAGGCTCCTTCCCCACCAGAGAGGTGACATTCTTTGTGCCAAGAGCCAGCTTCTGTAGCCGAGGATCAGAACGCTGCGGTCCCCGCCCTCGACTACCACCTGTCACACACTGTACCTGACCCCTTTGGCCCCTCCCACGAGTGGTGAGCCCATGGGAAGGCGGACCCACGTTTCCTCTTCGGGCTGTGCCCGGCCGGGCTCCATGGGTGAAAGCCCGGCCACCAGCTGCTCGCCAGCGTGCCCCACCACCAGGTCTGGCTCCAGAGGGGGCCCCGGTGACCCACGCCCGCGCGAGGGAACCCGGTTTCCATTAATATAATACATCATAAGAGGTCTTGTGATTATACATCAGATAAAAATGGATTTATGAATAAAAAGTGTAAAATATCTCAATAGGATAATAATTCATAAATTTGCTATAACTGTGTCAATTGTGAATTTGGTGAATGCATTTTAGTGCTTGAATAAATTATTTTGAGAACATGCATCTGTGGTGTTGTGAGCATGCGCAGTGAAGGCGCAAACCATGCCCTTAAACCCTTATATGCGTGAAAATTTAATTTCTTCCGAAAAGGCAATGTGCTACTGTCTTCTAAGCTTTTTTATATACTGGTAATTTTACTTCAGTTGTTGATGAAAATGGAAGTTTGGGATTATGGTTAGAATTGGACAAATGCTTTAACGTTGCCCCATGAGTTAGTCAAATTTTTCAAGGAACAGCATGTTCAAGGTGTTTGTAATTAGCCATTATGCTAATAGGAGTTAGCTTTAGTACTTTTTTAGTATCTTCTTATTGGGCTGTCCCATGAAGAAGGTTTCAGCCACTTCACTGAAGTGAAACTGTTGGCAGGAAGTTTATATATTATCTTACTAAAAAATCCGTGCCCACTAGATGAAACTTTTCAATTTTTATGAAAAATGCCATTTGTATGGTGGCGTGTTACAGCAACAGCCAAACTTAGAAAGTATTGTGAGACACGTTTTCCCCATAATGAAATGACTACCCCTCCAAATCTACCTAACTGCTGCTCAAATAAATCCTTAAAAATAAATGGGTCTGAATTCTTACACATTTTGTAGTTATGTGTAATTGGGATTTTACATATGTAAACATTTTAATGTTAGTTTTAAAAAATCAGCTTACTAGTGTGTTTTGATTCATTACACAAGTATACAAAGTATTTTCGCCGGATACGTGTTTCATTGAAATATGTTCCTCCGCAGAAAACCTTCCCCTTTCTGTTATCGATGTCTATTAATCCTGGTTAAATGTACACATTTTGACATCAAAGACTGGATTTAACGAGGCATGTACTCCATAAAGTAACGAATCAGCTGTTTGCATTTGTCAAACATGTTATCGTTTAAGTAATCGATTCGACATAAGTACACGCGGATAAGCTGTTATCGACGAGGTCACGATGTTCGGCGTAACACCGGTAGTGACGTCCGGATCACAAAATAAACGTACTTTCTTGCTTGTATGTCTAAAATAGCTCTTACAACCATTATAAAAAAATAAATTTGGATTAATTTAACACTATCAAGACAAACATTAGAGAAAATGTTCGTGTCATAAGCAAACAAACAAACCGGGTGGAGAAATGTGTTAATTCTCGCAAAGCATTCTGGGTAACCAGAAATTCGTAATCATAGCCATAAAACAACACTAGAAACACTTTAAATGAAGCCTTATTAATGCCGTTTTGAAGGATGTTGTACTATAGATCGCTCGGCGTGTTACTTGTGCTTAATGAAACTTCAGCACCATGACTGAGAACGGTTGTTCTGAGAATGACTCGCTGCCTGTTCTCAGAAAATCTTTAAGACTATACTTTCAGGGATCATTTCTATAGTTTCTAACTTGAGAAATGTGCTCCTAAAGTGATCAGTCTCGTCAACCACGATGATGAGTCTTGATATTCTCCTCTGAGCGTGAAACGGGTTGGAGTTAATGATTCAATTCATACGACTCCAACCATTGATGATCGTTCTTTGCTTCTTCCGGGAGCAATGAGGTGGGGAATATGATCAGAGTGGTCGCCGTAACTGTCATAAAGTAACGTAATCCTGTACTTAAGTTAATGATTCCGAGATAAACACTTAGGAACACTGTACACGACATTTACTCATACTTAATGAGCAAGAAGCATGTGTCACCGTTCCCAGACAGCAACACCAGCTGTGATTAATATGTAACTCATTTCCATTCAGCGTGTGTGAATACCTGATGGGTTAGAAAAGATCAAAACTCAATCTTTTCTGTTTGAAATTCTCATACCTCAAGAGAAATTAAAAAAGTCATATTTGATGTTACATAAGGTTAAACCTGATATTCTCCACTTGACACCAGATCCTTTGAAAATCACATGATTGAGTCAAATGAGATCATGTGATCGGAGTATCCCTGATTTTTATTGGTGTTTTGAAGTTAAATCAGTTCATTTCCACCTGATTCCAGATCCTTTGAGGTTTTTCTCATACACTATTGGTCAAATTGCTCATCACGTTGGGTGTGTTTGGTGCAACTGATACACCATGACTGAGGTTGGTTGTTCTGAGAATCAGGTACTGCTCATCCAGCCTGACTCACCAAGCATGAACTTCCAGGAATCATTTCTGTAGTTATTAATTTGAGGACTGTGCTCCTAAAGTGATCAGTTACACCAACCATCGTCTTGAGACTTGAAATACTCTTCTAAGAATGAAGCGGGCAAGAGAAGATGACTCACTTCACTCGTCCTGTCAGTGATGATCTTTCTTTCCTTTTTATTTAGGAGCAATGAGGGGGAGAATATTGTCAGAGTGATTGCTGTGTGTATTTTAGTGATGGGAATTCCAGCTCTTTTTAGAGAGCCGGTTCTTTTGGCTCAGCTCACCAAAAAGAGCTGGCTCTTTCGGCTCCCTAAGTGGCTCCTCAGATTTTCTGTTGCGTAGAGTACATTTATAACCAAAATAATGCTAAACTATTATGTAAAATAATTTACTAATATAAAAAAGCAATATATCAAATATTTATCATTTGTATGGATTTAATAACTGAACACTTTAAGAAATCTCCACTTTCCGACTGCTGGCGCTCATTTTCTCACCGTCTTCGTTGCACTCTCCGCCCTCTCGCTCGCCTTTTTCCTCCTCATTCCCTCTCGTCTCCCTCCTCCCACATGTGCTCTGCTGTGTGTCTGAGTCTGATCCTCCCTCTTCCCCACCCCTACTGCTCTGTGTGTGGACAGTCTGGACACGCAGTTACACATGTTGACCAATCGCCTGTAGCTTTCACCAAAGCAGGGGGGGAGGAGGGAGGGGAGGGGACAGCTCCCAATGACGAGCCGGCTCCCGTCGTTCACTTCAAAGAGCCGGCTCTTAGAGCCGGTTCCTTCGCAACTGACACATCACTAGTGTATTTAAAGATAAACATCTGTATATGGAAGGGAGTGATCAAAATTAAGGTGATCATTACCATTCAAATCCATAAAGGAGCATTTGTTGCTTTTCTTAGGCCAGAACATTTCATCTTAACTTATGCCAGCATTCCCAGCTGTGGCTTCATTGTAGTAGTGATGTGTTGGTCGTGAACGAACCGGCTCTAAGAGCCGGCTCTCTGAAGTGAACGAAGGGAGCCGGCTCGTCATTGGGAGCCATCCCCTCCCCCCTCCCCTCTTGCCTTGGTGAAAGTTACAGGCGATTGGTCAACATGTGTAACTGCGTGTCCAGACTGTCCACACACAGAGCAGTAGGGGCGGGGAAGATCAGACTCAGACACACAGCAGAGCACATGCGGGAGGAGGGAGACGAGAGGGAATGAGGAGGAGGAAAAAGGCGAGCGAGAGAGAGGAGAGTGCGACGAAGACGGTGAGAAAATGAGCGCCAGCAGTCGGAAAGTGGAGATTTCTTAAAGTGTTCAGTTATTAAATCCATACAAATGATAAATATTTGATATATTGCTTTTTTATGTTAGTAAATTATTTGACATATAGTTTAGCATTATTTTGGTTATAAATGTACTCTACGCAACAGAAAATCTGAGGAGCCGAAAGAGCCGGCTCTTTTTGGTGACCTGAGCCAAAAGAACCAGCTAAATCTGTTTATTTCCACCTGATTCCAGCTCCTTTGAAGCTTGGTTCATATACTATTGGTCAAATCATCAAAACATCATGTTGGGCGTGTTTGGTGCAACAGATACACCATGACTGAGGTTGGTTGTTTTGAGAATCAGGTGCTGCTCATCCATCATGAGTGATCAAGACTATACTTTCAGGGATCATTTCTATAGTTTCTAACTTGGGAAATGTGCTCCTAAAGTGATCAGTCTCGTCAATCACGATGATGAGTTTTGATATTCTCCTCTGAGCGTGAAGCGGGCTGGAGTTAATGATTCAATCTATACGACTCTAACCATTGATGATCGTTCTTTGCTTCTTCTGGGAGCAATGAGGTGGGGAATATGATCAGAGTGGTCGCCGCAATTGTCATAAAGTAATGATCTCACAGCTGGAAATGAGTGTAAAAACCATGCAGTAAATGTACTTATAGTACACAAGAAATGTTTAGTGATGGGAATTCCTGCTCTTTTTTAGAGAGCTGGTTCTTTTGGCTCAGCTCACCATAAAGAGCTGGCTCTTTCGGCCCCCAAGTGGCTCCTCAGATTTTCTGTTGCGTAGAGTACATTTATAACCAAAATAATGCTAAACTATATGTAAAATGATTTACTAATGTAAAAAAGCAATATATCAAATATTTATAATTTCTATGGATTTAATAACTGAACACTTTAAGAAATCTCCACTTTCCGACTGCTAGCGCTCATTTTCTCACCGTCTTCGTCGCACTCTCCTCTCTCTCACTCGCCTTTTTCCTCTTCCTCATTCCCTCTCGTCTCCCTCCACCTGCATGTGCTCTGCTGTGTGTCTGAGTCTGATCCTCCCTCTTCCCCACCCCTACTGCTCTGTGTGTGGACAGTCTGGACACGCAATTACATATGTTGACCAATCGCCTGTAGCTTTCACCAAAGCAGGGGGGGAGGGGGGGAGGGGAGGGGACAGCTCCCAATGACGAGCCGGCTCCCGTCGTTCACTTCAAAGAGCCGGCTCTTAGAGCCGGTTCCTTCGCAACTGACACATCACTAGTGTATTTAAAGATAAACATCTGTATATGGAAGGGAGTGATCAAAATTAAGGTGATCATTACCATTCAAATCCATAAAGGAGCATTTGTTGCTTTTCTTAGGCCAGAACATTTCATCTTAACTTATGCCAGCATTCCCAGCTGTGGCTTCATTGTAGTAGTGATGTGTTGGTCGTGAACGAACCGGCTCTAAGAGCCGGCTCTCTGAAGTGAACGAAGGGAGCCGGCTCGTCATTGGGAGCCATCCCCTCCCCCCTCCCCTCTTGCCTTGGTGAAAGTTACAGGCGATTGGTCAACATGTGTAACTGCGTGTCCAGACTGTCCACACACAGAGCAGTAGGGGCGGGGAAGATCAGACTCAGACACACAGCAGAGCACATGCGGGAGGAGGGAGACGAGAGGGAATGAGGAGGAGGAAAAAGGCGAGCGAGAGAGAGGAGAGTGCGACGAAGACGGTGAGAAAATGAGCGCCAGCAGTCGGAAAGTGGAGATTTCTTAAAGTGTTCAGTTATTAAATCCATACAAATGATAAATATTTGATATATTGCTTTTTTATGTTAGTAAATTATTTGACATATAGTTTAGCATTATTTTGGTTATAAATGTACTCTACGCAACAGAAAATCTGAGGAGCCGAAAGAGCCGGCTCTTTTTGGTGACCTGAGCCAAAAGAACCAGCTAAATCTGTTTATTTCCACCTGATTCCAGCTCCTTTGAAGCTTGGTTCATATACTATTGGTCAAATCATCAAAACATCATGTTGGGCGTGTTTGGTGCAACAGATACACCATGACTGAGGTTGGTTGTTTTGAGAATCAGGTGCTGCTCATCCATCATGAGTGATCAAGACTATACTTTCAGGGATCATTTCTATAGTTTCTAACTTGGGAAATGTGCTCCTAAAGTGATCAGTCTCGTCAATCACGATGATGAGTTTTGATATTCTCCTCTGAGCGTGAAGCGGGCTGGAGTTAATGATTCAATCTATACGACTCTAACCATTGATGATCGTTCTTTGCTTCTTCTGGGAGCAATGAGGTGGGGAATATGATCAGAGTGGTCGCCGTAATTGTCATAAAGTAATGATCTCACAGCTGGAAATGAGTGTAAAAACCATGCAGTAAATGTACTTATAGTACACAAGAAATGATTTAGTGATGGGAATTCCTGCTCTTTTTTTAGAGAGCTGGTTCTTTTGGCTCAGCTCACCATAAAGAGCTGGCTCTTTCGGCCCCCAAGTGGCTCCTCAGATTTTCTGTTGCGTAGAGTACATTTATAACCAAAATAATGCTAAACTATATGTAAAATGATTTACTAATGTAAAAAAGCAATATATCAAATATTTATAATTTCTATGGATTTTATAACTGAACACTATAAGAAATCTCCACTTTCCGACTGCTAGCGCTCATTTTCTCACCGTCTTCGTCGCACTCTCCTCTCTCTCACTCGCCATTTTCCTCTTCCTCATTCCCTCTCGTCTCCCTCCTCCCACATGTGCTCTGCTGTGTGTCTGAGTCTGATCCTCCCTCTTCCCCACCCCTACTGCTCTGTGTGTGGACAGTCTGGACACGCAGTTACACATGTTGACCAATCGCCTGTAGCTTTCACCAAAGCAAGAGTGGAGGGGGGAGGGAAGGGGACGGCTCCCAATGGCGAGCCGGCTCCCGTCGTTCACTTTAAAGAGCCGGCTCTTAGAGCTGGTTCGTTCGCGACCGACACATCACTACAATGTTCCCAGACATCTATACCAGCTGTGATATCTCTGTAGCTCGTCGTTTCCATTCAGCGTGTGTGAATACCTGTTGTGTTAGACAAAATCAGAACTCAGTCAACTTTTCTGTTTGAAGTTCTCATACCTCAAGCCAAATTAAAAAAGTCATATTGTTTCATAAGGTTAAACCTGATATTCTCCACTTGACTCCAGATCCTTTGAAAATCACATGATTGAGTCAAATGAGATCATGTGATTGGAGTATCCCTCATTTTTATTGGTGTTTTGAAGTTAAATCAGTTCATTTCCACCTGATTCCAGATCCTTTGAGGTTTTTCTCATACACTATTGGTCAAATTGCTCATCACGTTGGGTGTGTTTGGTGCAACTGATACACCATGACTGAGGTTGGTTGTTCTGAGAATCAGGTACTGCTCATCCAGCCTGACTCACCAAGCATGAACTTCCAGGAATCATTTCTGTATTTACTAATTTGAGAAATGTAAAATTTTAGACTTGACATTATCCTCTGAGCATGAAACTGGCAAGAGTTAATGAATCTGTTCATAAGACTCCTGCTATTGATAATTGTTATTTGCTTCTTCTTGAAGCCATGAGGGGGAGAATGAGATCAGAGAGGTCACCATGCAAGCTAAATGCTATTTAGACCTGTGGGTTAAAGGAAGTAAACACATGCGTATGTTTAGTATTGAAGTTCACATCTGCATAGAAGAGTTGATTGAAATTCTTCGGCCACAACATTAAACTCTATATAGCTTCTGCTAGTGATACCCAGCTGTGGGTACACTGTTGCTCATCATCACTCAGCATGTGTGTGTGTGTGTGTGTGTGTGTGTGTGTGTGTGTGTGTGTGTGTGTGTGTGTGTGTGTGTGTGTGTGTGTGTGAATAACTGTTGGGTTTGGTAAAATTAAAAATAAGTCACTGCTTTTCCATTTGAAAATATCTCATCTCAGGCCAAATTTAAAAAGTCATATTTGTTGTTTCATAAGGTTAAACCTGATGTTTTCCACCTGATTCCAGATCCTTGGAATATCACATGATTGGGTCGAATTTGATCATGGGATCGAAGCGTTCCTTATTTTTATTAATGTTTTGAAGTTTGTTTCATATACTATTGGTCAAATCGCTCATCGTGTTGGGCGTGTTTGGTGCAACAGAGGCACCATGACTGAGGCTGGTTGTTCTGAGAATAAGGTGCTGCTCATCCAGCTTGACTCATCAAGACTTTACTTTCAGGGATCATTTCTATGTTTAATAACTTGAGAAATGTGCTCCTAAAGTAATCAGTCTCGTCAACCATGATGAAGAGCTTTGATATTCTCTTCTGAGCATGAAGCGGTCAGGAGTAAATGATTCACTTCATATGTTTCCTGCCATTGATGATTGTTCTTTGCTTCTGCTAGGAGCAATGAGGAGGAGAATGTGATCAGAATGGTTGCTGTGTGTGTTTAAAGTTAAACATCGGTCCATGGAAAAAAGTGATCAAAATTGAGGTAATTATTACCATTGAAATCCATAAAGGAGCATTTGTTGCATCTCTTAAGCAAATTTCATCTTAACTTATGCCAGCATTCCCAGCTGTGGCTTCACTGTAATTCATCACCATTCAGTGTGTGTGTGAATACCAGGTGTGTTTGTCAAAATTAAAACCGTCAACTTTTCTGTTGGAAAATCTCATACCTCTGGCCAAATTTTAAAAGTCATATTTGTTGTTTCATAAGGTTAAACCTGATGTTTTCCATCTGATTCCAGATCCTTTGAAAATCACATGATTGGGTCGAATTCGATCACGTGATCGAAGCATCCCTAATTTTCATTGATGTTTTGAAGTTTGTTTCACATACTATTGGTCAAATCGCTCATCGTGTTGGCGTGTTTGGTGCAACAGAGGCGCCAGGTTGTTCTGAGAATCAGGTGCTGCTCATCCATCATAAGGGATCAAGGCCATACTTTCAGGGATCATTCCTGAAGTTTCTAATTTGAGAAATGTGCTCCTAAAGTGGTCAGTCACACCAGCCACCGTGCTGAGACTTGATATTCTCTTCTGAGCGTGAAGCTGGCAGAAATATCTTATTTATTTCATGTAATTGCTGCTATTGATGATCACTCTATACTTTTAAAAGTGATGAGGGGGAGAATATGATCAGTGTGTTTCAGCTGAGTATATTATTTATGATTTTATTTAGTGATTGTTTCTTCAATGGAGATATATTGAGAAAGCACAAGTTGTATTCTCAGTAATAGTTTCAAAATCCACTGTTATACTAAGCCATAAATATTGATAGCTATCTAATTAACAGTACAATGAAGCCTTCGTCTTCGTCTTCGTCTTCCTCCGCTTATCCGGGTCCGGGTCGCGGGGGCAGCATCCCAACTAGGTAGCTCCAGACCGTCCTCTCCCCGGCCTTGTCCACCAGCTCCTCCGGCAGGACCCCAAGGCGTTCCCGGACCAGACTGGAGATGTAACCTCTCCAACGTGTCCTGGGTCGACCCGGGGGCCTTCTGCCGGCAGGACATGCCCGAAACACCTCCCCGGGGAGGCGTCCAGGAGGCATCCTGACCAGATGCCCAAACCACCTCAACTGACTCCTTTCGATCCGGAGGAGCAGCGGCTCTACTCTGAGTCCCTCCCGAATGTCCGAGCTCCTCACCCTATCTCTAAGGCTGAGCCCGGCCACCCTACGGAGGAAACTCATTTCGGCTGCTTGTATCCGCGATCTCGTTCTTTCGGTCATTACCCAAAGCTCATGACCATAGGTGAGGATTGGGACGTAGATCGACCGGTAAATCGAGAGCCTGGCTTTCTGGCTCAGCTCCCTCTTCCCCACGACAGACACAATGAAGCCTTTAAATGTATTCATAGTATACACTGAATGTTGACTTTTTCCAGAAAACATACAGCTGTTCCAAAAAACCCATTTGAGACCCTTGTGTTTACTGAATGTTGATTTCATTAAGCTAATCTCGGTCCCCAATCTTGTGATTAGAAATTAAAACAGTGCGTTAAAGTTTATTGGTTTGCTTGATTAGATTAATGGATTCTGTATCTGAACCCTGAGTAAAGAACACTGGTCATCATTTCTGTTCAGTAAGGAGTTTTGAGTGTGAAGTAGGTGTTAAAGTTCCTTATCATAAGCCATTGATGATTAACTTACTTCTTCATATAGAGTACTTGTCTACTTTTTTCAGAGTAATGATGAAGAGAATGTGGTCAGAGAGGTTCTTAAAGAGGCTAAAAACAAATTAATAGACTCTTGTGTTTAATTGAAAACTTAGGGACTTGTTAATCTCATTGTTCCCAAATAGGAATGAATAGTTTCTTTATTGTTCCACCACAGCAGCACATACTACAAAATATGTCTGAAAGTGACACAAATAAAATACATTAAGCAAAACACAGTTAACCTAAGAGAGACAAATAAGTGCAAATACAACATAAAAGGAATACTTATGAATGAAAAAGGAACTAATAGATGTGACAATAATCATTGGTAGTGTGGATGATTGGTTTTTCTGGATGTACAAAATAATTGTACCGTTATTGTTTAAGATGTGTTGTTCTGGGGGCATTTGAGCAGAAATACTCCATCTAAGCTCAACATTCCCTCATCTTCATGCTGAGAATTGTTCTTCAACCTGGTGCTCCATTATCCAAAGCTTTCATTTCATGTGAAAATGCTCACTGAGTCCATAGTGTATGCCAGCCCCTTTGAGATCTCTTTCCAAGGCTTGGTGTATTCCACTGAGTTGGGCATGTTTGGTGAAACCGAGGCACCATGAATAGGAATGGTTATTCTGAGAATCACTTGCCTCCCACCCACCGTCATTTCCATATACCCTGGCTGGTTTGTGTAAAGCTCAGCAACCCCCTTGGCTCTGCACAAGCTGGAAGTATTGCAGTCAGCTGCATCGTAGGTGTGCAGTGGGGCCTTTAGTTCGACCTCCGTGCTGGCGCTTCAGGTGGAAGTGGGTGAAATGCCACTGGAGTATCATCAGGTTAAGTAGAGGTTGCATTACCTATTGAGGATGAAGGGCATGGGGTATCAGCTGCAGCATCGGGTTTACTGATGGAGCACTGGGAGTTTGGTGGTGGGAGGAGACTTTCTTGAGAGACTTAGAGAACAATTGGAGAGGTTGGGCTTCCTGGACTAGACTGTGGTTTCACGTGTGGTCTGGCCGGATGTTCCACCATGGCTGTTACCGGAGGGAGTTGGATCTGTCTTTCTTGGGTCGAGGCCGGGGTGTTGGCTGGCAGAGGACTTTGAGGGCTATTTGGGGACAAAATGGACCTCATATCTGCTGATGTTTACAGATGGCTCAAGGGACCCTGAGAGTAGCGGGGCTGCGGTGGGGTTTGTGGTTCCTGGCCTGGGATTTGAGTTTGGTTGCCGATTCCTTGACCATAGTTCAGTGTTCTTGATGGCGTTGGTGACTATTTTGTGCGCTTTGTGCTGGTTGGAGGGTTGTGGACCAGTGCAGGCGGTCATCTGCTCCGACTCGGCATCAGTGTTGAGAGCGCTGGCTGGATTGAGCTGTCACTGTACAAGTTGAGGATGGAGGGGAGCGATGTAGGTTTTTTTGGGGTTTCTGCTCACATGGGTGTGAGTGGCAATGAGGGGGCGGACCTTGCGGCAAAGAGCTCTTGGGAGTGGCGTAGTGTGTTTGGATGTGGGGATGGGGTCGCCGGAATACTGTGCTGTGATATGGCAGGAGGATCAGAGGTCTGTGGCAGGACTCCTGGGACAAAGGGGTGAAGGGTAGAGCCTAGAATCATTACTTATTCCTTACCAATCAAAAACACAGTACCAGGCACGCTCCATCACCAAACCCTCCCATTGCAAAGCTAAACAGACAAAATGTCAGAACAAGGAGACGATTGTTCCAGTGAATTGTTCCCATGATTTGACAATTGAAGCTGTGTAGGTGAGTGCAGGACAATGATAGGGATAATAGGGTTCATTAATCATTCCGTTTTAGGCATGTACACATTTCAGTTGACACACAAAAATATGTTCAGGTTTACACAAAGACAGAGACATAAGATGTCTGGAGTTACTAAAATTAAATGAAAAAAAAGAAAAGAAAACATTGATTAGAGCTGTAGAAAATTCATTAAAATTACAATTAAACAACAAAATATTTGCTGAAGATTAATACAACAACAATTATTTCAATAAAACGTATCTGTTTAAAATGTGATTGCACCAGATTAGTCATTCTAAATGTGTGCACACTACAGATGTGCCTGTGTAACCTTTTATCTACCCTTTCAATATTTTATTATTTATTGATCAATTTTTATTTATGTTTTTGTTTATTACAGCCCGTTGTACGAGCATGTAGACGGGATGACGACCAGCGAGCACAAAAAAAGTAACATCTTATTTTGAAAAGCTGATCTAGACAAAGTTGCGTCTTACCACGTGACGTCATACGTAAATAAGTTGGCCAAGCTGTTTTTAGCTGTGTTGTTGATTTCCTTTTGTCTTTTTATTTTACCTAAAACATAGAAGACAGATTAAGATAACCTACGAGCTTTAAGGGAAAAGAACGGAGATGACATTTTATTACATAAAATATCAGGCTAGTTACGTAAATAAGTACGCTTCGTGTGAATAGGAAATCGAGCTTTTGGTAAACTAGCTAACTGGTTAGCGACACAAATTTCCACTCCGTGCGTTGCCCATGCTCTGTTTCTCGTCCAGTTACGTCTCCGTTGGTCCGGTTCGTGGTGTCTCCCAGAGAGAATGAACTGGTTTTTCCCTCAGTCTAAAGGCTCCGGACCTCTCCCTCCTCTCAACAGCCTACAGCAACAGAGGCAGCGGCAGATCGATTCTCTGAAAGCTGCTCACCCCAGGTAAGGTGGACGGCGTTCTGCCCCACAAGTGTGTCAGTGTTCTGCCTGTTGGGTTTAACCAAACCCTTGGTAGACATGTTTAAAGTCAAATAATGTAGTTGTAAAGGGGTTTAGTGTTTGCTAACTACTAGCTGTGCATCTAATCAAATCATCGACGGTCTATTTTTAGTGCTGATTACAAGTTGTAGCAGGCTGATCTTGTCCTGTGATTATTCCTGATTGTCACGCGTTTAGTGTTAGGACGAGCTTGTTATGTATGGGGATCACAGCTTTAAATGTGTTTACTAGGTGTACTGGGTGACAATTTTCAATTAAAATGCATATGATGGCCTGTTGTCATTGTGAGCAGGTTTGATTTTTATTTTGACAATCGTACATTAAATAATTTTATTGAGCGTGTTAAATCAGTCATAACAGGACAGGAAGTCTTTTCAAATGTAATTCACGAGACTGTATGGATTAATGTGATGATGTGAATGAGTTCTTAGGTGTGTTCTTGCTGTGTCTTTGTAAATCCATTCTTTCGTTCTTTTTTTAAACACAGAAACAGTTTTGTTTACCTGTTAGTAGCTACGGTTTCACCGACAGCTGCCGGCTTCTTCAGGCTGACGCTGATGGTGGCGTCACTTCCTTCTCCGTTTATCTGCGGGCAGCAGAGGACGTTGTCGCCCTCTACTGCCCGCTCTCCCCTCTCCGACGATGCAGTCCCATGCGTGGTCCAGCGTGTAAACTCCGTCGTCCCTGTTCATGGTCCCACATCCACGTCTCCTTATCTCGATTGCTTCCTTGATCCATCTTTTGTATTTTTGTTGTTCAGTGGTTATGATCCGTGTGCTGTCCCAGTCCATTATATGGTTTTCTCTTAAGCAATGATCTGTTACCGCTGACTTTTTTATTGTACTTTCTGCTTCTTCTTTTGCTGCTCTTGTGTGTTTACGATTTGCCTCTTTCTCGCACTTCTTTCTGTGTTCTATTGTCCGTGTGTTGAGTTGGCGTCCGGTTTCTCCTATGTATGTTTTATTGCAGAGTTTGCATGGGATTTCGTAGATGACTCCACATTTTTGTCCAGCTGATATTTTGTCTTTTGGGTGTACTAGTCTGTTTCTAACTGTTGTGTATGGCTTTGTTGGTGTGTTTATGTTGTGTTTTTTCATTGTTGCTCTTATTTTTTCCGTTATGCCTCTGATGTATGGTAGGGTTATCACTGGTTTTGGTTCTTGTCTTTCTGGGTTTCTGGTTCTTTTTTTGGGTTGTTCTTTGCTTTCTGTTTTTGTTTGTTGTTTTCCTTTGTTTATTGCCCATGTCGGGTATCTGTATACCTTCTCGCACTACTAAAGGAGTGCGAGAAAGAGGCAAATCGTAAACACACAAGAGCAGCAAAAGAAGAAGCAGAAAGTACAATAAAAAAGTCAGCCGTAACAGATCACTGCTTAAGAGAAAACCATATAATGGACTGGGACAACACACGGATCATAACCACTGAACAACAAAAATACAAAAGATGGATCAAGGAAGCAATCGAGATAAGGAGACGTGGATGTGGGACCATGAACAGGGACGACGGAGTTTACACGCTGGACCACGCATGGGACTGCATCGTCGGAGAGGGGAGAGCGGGCAGTAGAGGGCGACAACGTCCTCTGCTGCCCGCAGATAAACGGAGAAGGAAGTGACGCGCCACCATCAGCGTCATCCTGAAGAAGCCGGCAGCTGTCGGCGAAACTGTAGCTACAAACAGGTAAACAAAACTGTTTCTGTGTTTAAAAAAGAACGAAAGCATGGATGTGAATGAGTTGATTGTTTTGTCAGTGATTTTGAAAGAAGCGTTGAACTAACTCTTTAGGTCTGATCTGTGAAAAGTTCAATTATTTTTAAGATTCTTTAATCAGGTTATCCAGAAAATATTTGAGCAACACCATATATTTTTTTATTTGACCTTAATGTTTTCATGTTGTTGTAAAAATATGTGTGAATTCAGTTAAATATTAAATATTTAAAAAATGTACTATTAGTGAATGCAGTTTAATGTAAAATACACATTAATATTAATATTATCATATAAACATCTGATGTGGTAACGGAATGTATGAAATTCATGCTAATATACTTAAAAACGACTGTAGGATCTTTGTTAAATAGTTTTAAACACAGCTGTTCCACTTGATTCGTGTAGAAACAGCCTTAGCATTCTTTACAACTTTCCATACTTTTAACCCACATTAGCAGAATGCCTGATGCCTACTCTGAATGTGTAGATGATGCTGATGAATGACTCAAATCTACCTTTCTGTGTCGGTTTTGTTCACAGCCTTGCAGAGATCCAGAAGGATGTTGAGTATAGAATACCATTCACAATCAACAACTCAACCATTAATGTTAATATGTGAGTACACCTTTCAGCACACAATCACGGTGAAAGTTCAGCAGCAGCATTACTTATGCCTCCTACGTCCAGAAATCCACCTCTGATGCAACTAAATCCAAAGGTCAGCTGGTTTCACTTTGTCAAATAGGACTTAATTGTTCTGACTTTCTAAAAACGGACCAAAATCTCCTCATCTAACTACTTGGTGATATTGTCCCTACATCCACATTCTCAGTCTCCAGTGGTTTTCACCATGAATGCACAAAAGTTGAAAATGAATGGTCAGAGCAGTATGATTAACATAAAAGACTCTTCAAATAATTTCAATAAACTCTTACTATTCTTGATGACCAGACTGGATTTAGATGACTGTGGACAAGATATTGATGTTCAGTGTTACCCCACTTCACACTGAAGCATCAGCAGCACGGAACGGCAGCAGAACGTCACTGCTTTAAATACAATCCATTAAAGTCTATAGAGGTGATTCAAACCAGTTGCGATGCAGAAATGTTGGTGTAATGGCCGTGACCTTTGAAGTCTCTAGGGGTTTTGTAATCTCGCGAGTTCAGCCAGGAGCACAGCAGAGAAGCCGGTGTGCAGCTGAGGTTCTCTCGGTGTGTAATGGCACACAGTGAATCTCGCAAGTAAACCGTCCCACTACGCTGATGCCTCCAGTAGGGCTGGACGATATAGAAAAAAAGTATATCGATTAAAAAATATTTTATATTGATCGATGTCGATAATTATTGAAAAATATTTTTCTTGATCGATATCGATAATTATTGAAAAATATTTTAAAAATTGTAGAAAACATTTTGCATGCACCCCAGGCCATTTTATTTTGGGTATTTAGATTTTTTTTCTCCGCCTCTTCTCACTGCAATGTTTTTAGGGCTGCCACAAATGACTATTTTAGTAGTCGACCAATCGTGTCATTTATAAAAGTTTAGCTTATTGCACCAGGATGCTCTAATATACCATCATTAGCTTCTAGTCTGAGGTGTGATCAGTTATGGGCCATCTAATAATAAAAACAAGATGATAGCTTATCAAACAACTTTAATTAACTTGTAACCTGTTGATACAAATGCTATACAACCACATGGAGGTAGGCATTTAAAACCAAAAAAAAAAAAAACTTGTGTTCACAAGAGGCATGGTGGCAAGGTTGAAGAGCTTCATCTTCCAATCTTCACTCAGGAAATAGCAGGACACACCTAGGTACTCCTCTGTTGCACGGCTGGTCCACACGTCAGCAGTCAGGGACCATCGACAGCTCTGAGGGTCTGCTTTAGCGTAAAGATAAAAGATATTGAAGTTAGTTTCTTTACCAGATTACTAATTCTGTTAAATCAAAGTAGGTTAAGATTTAACACAAAGAAAATGTTTTATGCTTTAAAAATATTAGTTTCTTGATTGTTCAGTCAGCAACCTTTTTATTTGATCATAAATGCATTTTATTCTACTGTTTATTTTATTTGTATCCAGAGAGAAACTGACACACACACCTTAAAGGTTGTGTTACTCTTCTTTTACATCATATTGGTGAAGTGGGACCAGCCTGGTTGTTGTCATATATATGTCTGTAACCTCCACTGTAACGTAGCGGGATGAGGTAAATCATTAGCATTTGTAATTGGAGCTAAAATACGTGACATACAAATGTGTTCTAAAGGTAACAACATCGCCGTCTCTACTGGTGTTGCTGCAGCTATAAATACAAGTAACTCTGTTGATGTTAGCAGCTAACAAGAGGTAAGCTTACCGAGGCGACTCGGTTCTTCCTCTTAAGATGCTCGTGCGTCGCCGATGTGCTCCTGTGAAAGGAGAGTTTCGCTTTGCAGAGTTTGCACTACGTGCCTTTCTTTTGAATTAGTAAAACGCTCCCAAACTTTTCAGATTTGCGACTCGACACTTTCTCCGATGATGAAGGCTGAGCTGGATGGCCACCACTGCGCATGCGCCTCGGAGCTAAAGCGGTGGCTGAGCAGAGTGGCAGGAAGCAAAAGTCGAACGTGTCGCAGCAGGCGAGATAAAAACAATTGTTTATAAAATAAGGCGTATTTTATTTGTCGGTGTTGTTGTGACGAGTCGACTAATCATGGCAGTCCTAGACATCTTGCTGCGACTGCCTCTCGCTCTCCTTTGGTTTGAGAGGGGAGGGCCTGGGGACGTAGCGTGATTGGTTAGGAGTAAGTAGTGAGTCTAGTATGCTGCGACCTGATAGGTTGTAATGAAAAAAGGAAACGTTTTTATCGAAGTTTTATCGACCAGTTTTTTTGTCTATCGTACCACATGCCTATCGATAGATATAATGAACTATTGAATTATCGTCCAGCCCTAGCCTCCAGTGTGAAGTAGGGGTTACGATCATCATGTTGACCGAGTAGAAAAAGCAGAGCGGGGAAAACTTTTTACAATAACTTCTTGTCATTGCTAAATTTATCAAAAAATAAATAAATAAATAAATAAAAATGCAAACGTTTATTTATTTATTTTCAAATATTGTGTAGCTCTATCGAACTAAAATTGGTCCTTGGAAGAAAAAAAAAAGGAGACCAGAAAGCAAGCAGCCAAAGTTTATTGATTTGTGAGGGAAAGTGAAAGCTGGGTGGTGTTTTGTGATCCAGTAGGAGAGATGTTTGTAGCCCTGTGTGCCAGGACTTATGGTATATTTCACTTCATTGTACTGTTGACCAGGATCAAATGGGAGGTTTAATTGCCGTATGTGTGATAAATCACAACTTTAGGAAATTGCTGCAGTACTTGGTGCAAAATTAACATTTTTTAAAAAATGCTAAAATTTGAAATAAGCACAAAAAAAAACCCAACAATATAGGGATGCAGTAATTGGAGAAAATGCTACTATGTACTTGTCAGAGCAGATCAGTTCATGTGACAACACAACACATGGTCAGGTGACTGAAACAAAGCGACGGGTCAGCTGTGATCTGACCTGCACGCCTCAAAGTTGTGGAGGTGTACAGGTCCTGTATAGAGGGATGTTTGCAGCCAATGACCTTCTCAGCATAGCGCACGACACGCTGTAGTCTCTTCCTGTTCCTGATGGTGGCTCCAGCATACCACACAGTGACTGAAGAGGTGAGGATGGACCTGATAATTGTGGTGTAGAACTGCCTCATCGACTGTGCTGGCAGGTTGAATTTCTTTAGCTGCCTCAGGAAGTACATCCTCTGCTATGCCTCTTTTATGAAACTGAACCACTTTAAAATGTAAGAAGGTGGCTTGGTCTTTTTAAAGGGGCATTATGGAAGTTTGACAGCCAAAACATGTATAGAAATAATAAATTTCTTCTTCATACATTGTCCTGCAATGCCCTGGTCCCGTTGAATGAGCCCTGGCATTTTTACTGTGATTGCCTGTTTTTCTGTAAAATCACAGAAAAAGAGAGATGCTCGGGTCGAGCAGGCTGCTTCATGCGCGTTCACGCTCAGGCATAGCCCGTAGCATTTGCTATCAGTAGCTTTAGCAGCAGAGAGCGAGGTAGTGCCAACTCAGCGACTTTGTCGCTGTTCCTAACGCCTAGTGATGAACCTAGCTACATTTCTGAGGACCCTTAGCTACTTTCTTCTAGATATTTCCTGCAAATTAGCAACAAAATAGCCATTTTTGCTCCGAACCGTTCTTTGAACATTATATATATAAATATTACAGATACCAAAGACGCCATCGGTGTTTTAGCTCACCTGGTTAGACGTCGGACTCTCGTGCTGAGACCCGGGTTCGATTCTGAATGTGAGCATAGTTTATTTAGAGTTTCTTTTTTACATTAATGGTATATTTTTTACAGTAAGATGCCCAAATTTTTATTTGAGACTCGCTGAACGGCATTGAATTCACAGATAAAAAAAGATGTGGGTTCAACTTTCATTTTGGAACAATTTTTCAAGCAAGGGAAGGGAATGATCTGAGCATGCAGGAGGACTGACCCATCATAAACCTTTGTCGGCTCTGCTGCAGAGAAAGGACCAAATTATTTAATTAATTAGCTGCGCGTTCTCCATAAAAATTCAAAACTCCGTAAAGTCCCTTTAAAGAGCAGGTTTACTGAAACATTTTTTACTTATTCTTTTTGAAATACGATTGGTAACTCTGAGTTTCACATGATGGCTGAACATTAAAATGGTTTTCTAGAATAGAATAGAGTGTAATAGACTATTTGTCCCACAGTGGGGAAATTTACTTGTTACAGCAGCACATACACTTGGAGAATAATTTGAAGACAGAAATAATAACAAAATTACATGTACAGTAATCCCTCGCTACTTCGCGGTTCGTTCATCGCGGATTCGCTGCTTCGCGGATTTTTTCTTTGGAGCATTTTTCAGGGGGAATTCGCAGATTCGCGGTATTTTTCACTGATTCGCGGTATTTTTCCATGCGAAACATCAAGAAATTCTTGTTTTTTTTCATCAATTTCATCATAAAATGCACTTTTTGTAATAAAACTAAAAAAACCAAATAAAAAAATTTTTTTTCTTAAGTTTTACCCACAAAAAGAGAATGTGATCATACGATAATTAAATATGTCAGACAGGTCGGCTGGATTCGGGAGTTCTTGTAGGGAGCGTGGTTTCACTGACGCGGAAGTGAGAGCGTCGGTGAAACGCCGGCTGATCTAGGAAACCCCCGAGCGTTCGAGCGTCAACGAAGTGACACGGAAATGCCGGGCTTTCCAGAAGTAAGTAAGATAACTTACTATGAGCTGATAGTTCGTTGGATTGATCGGTAGGTTGGAAACTCTGATCATGAATCTGAAGAAACGATGACTGAGTGGTGAGCTGGAAAGGCGACTTCCGTTTATAGCCGCGGTTTGTGACGTAGGTGCGACGTGGAGGGAATCCCCGCGAGGGGCATGCTGGGAGTCCCTACTTCGCGGATTTTCACCTATCGCGGCCAGGTCTGGAACGCATCTACCGCGATAAACGAGGGATTACTGTATACACATAGACAGTAAGCTATTATTGTAACCTTTGACCACTAAAAAAACACAACTGAAATCTGGGTTCCAGAACTATGCAGCATACTGTAGGGGACACAGACATACTATGTAAATCCGGTATTGCACAAGTATTGAACACGTACTGAGTATTGCCTTGATGTTATTGTGCACCAAGATAATGCCAGTACCAGTTAAACTGAGGAGTTATACACTCTTACTGCAGAGGGGATGAATGACCTATGGTTGCATTCTGTTTACATCTGGGATGTCTCAGTCTGCCACTGAAGAAGCTGTCCATGGTCTCCGTAGCAGTGGGTGGTAGGTGTGTTTTAAGATGGAGGTTATCTTCACTACCCTCCTCCTTTCGCACATCTCTTCAGCTGAATCCAGTGGGCAGCCCAGAACAGAGCTACCTTTGTTAACGGCCCCATTTCCTGCATTAGCTGCCGAAAGCTTGGGTCAGAAAAAGCCACACAAAACTGCCACACTGTAAAGTTGCATTCAAGGACTCGTCCATCTTGGCTCACAAAGTCAATGCTGTGATGGTTTTTGTAGCCAGGAGAGAGCAGAGTGCGTTTCTGCTAGTAGAAGCTAACCATTAGCAACTCCAGCACATGGAAGAACTCCTTGTGTTATTTGTGGAGATAAAACATCAACGTTGCAGAACAAATGGAGGCAGTAGAAGAGTCGTGTTGCTGTTAGCCAGTCAGAGGTGAGATGTCTGAATTTCATGAATACTAACGAGTAAGACTCTAAATACTGCTGTTTTTCAGCCTCCCACTCCTTCAACTAACTTCTAGTTCCTGAAAAAGAAGCATCAGAGAACGACTCACAAAGCATTCATTGACACTAGACACCACCGCAAATGGATTGAAAGAAAAAGATACGAGTGAATGAGAGCTTTAAAGTTCCTTTTTCAGGTTTTTACCTCATGTAGATGGCAACCTTTCTGCCAGTTAACATCATCATGAAGTAAAGGTGGAAATATTCAACAGCTACAGATAAAATTACTTTATATTACGACTTTGTTCAGTTTGTAGTATCCTACAAACCTGGAATTTGGCTTTTGTTTGGCAAATGGCAAAATAATGGTATTAGAAATGGAGGCACTCTGGTTGAATCAAAGCATGTCAATTACCTCTATAAAGTTACCAGACCAACCAAACAGTACAGTGAGGTATACACGACTGGCTGCACTTATGTTGTTCCTGTTCAGTGGCTCACTTTCTTGAGAAATACAAAATATGTTTTAATGACATGAATTAAATCATCTGTTGTATTAAACTAGTTTTTTTCCCCCTTTCCTCCTAGTTTGCTGCCTCCTCAGTTCCCTCAGGAGAAGCCAGTGGTTAGCGTCTACCCCCCTGTTGGGCACCATTTAGTAGACAGTAATAATGGAACCATGATTACTAGTCCCCTCATCACTAATGTAAGTAGTTGCTTTGTGTTATTCCAGTTATGCATTATTTAATATATAAGAGTATTAAAATCTTAGGAATATGTATTTCTAGACTCCAGGAAGTGTATGCAAATGTGCGGGTGTGTGTGTGTGTGTGTGTGTGTTTGTGTGCCTCTGGTGAAAATGATGTGGCAGGGTTATGAAAGTTTTAGGGAAATCTCATTTTTCACCATAATCTCTGTGGTAATGGAACCTGCCATCTGACTAAACTAGAAACTGTTTTGTAATGTGCTTTCACAAGATGGAGACTTTATGTGATGCCCAATTTGAAGACATTAACGTTAGGGGTGCGCTTTTCACAAAATGTCTTTAACCGGTTATTGACGCCCTCAAATGGGTAACAGCCAGTTAACCAGAAACAAACTCAAGCTCATTTGTCTTCTATGGTTGTCCAGTAGAGTGACTATCTTGCTCCCTCTAGTGGCACAAAATATATTACACCCCAGTGCAGCAAAAGGACTTAAAGCAGTTAACCGGGCTAAACGTTTTACCCGGTTACAACATTAACGACAATTAACTGGTTAACTATGTACATCTCTAGTAAACGTCTCTTTGTTCCTTCTAATTTGAAAAAGGCACATATTTTATCCATAATATGTTGTGTTAAACTAGGGCTGTCACAATAATCGCAAGAACAATATATCGCAATATTAAGAAACCCACCGCGCTGCATGACGTGCCACCGCAATTACCGCACTTGATTAAATCTCGCGACAGCGCATGCTGAGAGGTAAAGTCCGCGCTGATCGAGGAGATAGTAGGGCACTTTTTTTTTATTTCTGTTAGATGTTGCAGCCAAATTTGCATTTCAAAGTTAAACCTCCTGAATGTTGTTTTTAAGTTCAGTCAGAGAATGCCGTTACTGCCCTTTGATCTGCATTCAATAAAGTGTTAAAAATGGCCATGTATTTTTTTCTAACATTTTTTAAATGTGTAAGCACAATGTTTCAAAGGAAATATTGCCATGAGGTTAGTAATTAACAAACAAATTTGCTAAGTACATAAATAAAAACGAGGTGCAATCATATCGCATATCGCAATGTTGAGCTGCCCTGACTCACCGCAGGGGGAATTCCTCAATCGCGACAGCCCTATGTTAAACCTTTCTTTTTATCTTCTACAGTTTGGGATGCACTCCGATCTGGGTAAAGTCATTCAGAGTTTACTGGATGAGTTTTGGAAAAGTCCTCCTGCTCTGATGTCTACTGGTTCTGCTGGTTTCCCCTAGTGAGTTTCCATCTTCTGTCACTAGACAGCACTGTCTTTACATTTTTAGGGAATTGTGGATTATCAACAACGATGGTGTGGTTTATAAACATGAGTTAAGTAACTGAAAGCCGTTTGATATTCTAATGAAGAGTTTGATTTCTTCCTCAAATTTTCTGCAGCAGTATGTATAAGCCATCAGGCATTACTCCCTACCCCACCCAAACTTTCCATTATGGTCCTCGCCACGTTGGTCCCGGTCAGACACCCCCTCCTGGTCCAGCTGCGTCACCAGCCCCTATTCCTCACACAAGAGCGGACATTGCTCATGTGCCCCCTCGAGCCCCAGGCCCATATGGACTGTTACCTGACCTGCCACTACCTGTACCGACTGGAGACACTCAGGTATGCATCTTCTGAACATTATGTATGTCTGAGGTGGTGGGATCCATTCTCACATGGACAAGAAGGATCTCAGTTTTTCAAACAGTGAAACACTTTTTTTAAGTTCTGAAATTATTAAATGTTTCTCAGCTCAGAACAGGAAATATGAAAGTGAGGGGTAGGCAGTTCAAATACTGGGTTAGAAATTCCAGCCAGTCATGAATCCACTGAAGAGGAAAGGCGGCTTTAGGTTCAGATGAATATGTTTCTGTAACAAAGTGGGGCTCGGTTCAAATCTGCAAAAAGGTAGATTTAGTTTAAAATTTGATGTAGTTCAACTTGTTTGTTTTCCTCTGTCTCTGCTGCGCCTCAGCTTTGCCTCCTGAGGCTGTATGAGGTTGTTGTGAGACCCTTGTTGACTATTTTAACAGTGTTTGTTAGTGAGTATGTAGCTCTGATACATGGTGAGAGTAACAAAAGCGCTGCATTCTCTTAATATAGAAACTACTCTTGCATATAGTGTCTTGCCTTATTATTATATTATTATATTTCGTATTCTTGGTTACTCTTTCTTTCTGTCATGAGCTGTAGTAATGCACAAATATCCCCATTGTGTGATCAGTAAAGTCTTATCCTGTCCTGCTCAGTGGCCTAGTAGAGTGTCCGCCCTAGGACCGGAAGATCAGAGTTCAAATCCCGGTCGGGTCGTAAAAAAAGACTTTATAAAAATGAGACTCAGTGCCTCCCTGCTCCCCTTCCTTTAAGGGGTTGGATTGGGGGGCTAAACCACCAAATAGTTCCCAAGCGCGGCCACACCGCTCCCCACAGGGATGGGTCATATGCGGAGGACATTTTTCACTACACCAGTGTGTGTGTGACAACTAATGGGACTTAAATTTTAATCGTTTAATCCTATCCGACATTTAACAGCCCATCCAATTCATATTTGAAATTCCCTTTAACGGCAACTTTTTCATATTTTGTATTCATTTTCTTGAGCCTTTACAGGGTAATGAAAGGCCACTCACACCCCCCACCCCACCACCCCACCACCCTCTGTGGCCAGAATATTGCACTTGCAAATTTAGAGTTGCCGGTCTCGTCCATGTTGGTCTAAGTGAATTGGAACTGACATGCCAGTGCTGCAGTCTGCTTCCAGCGCACTTCCTGCATGTTATAGATCATGAACACAGCTGATTTGTTCGATTTAGTGATGAATCACTCCTGTAGACACTAAGGAAGGCTGAGGAGACATTTCAGCTGTTAGATCCAAGCACGGATCACAGTGTGCAACTTTTGGCCTATTAACAGAAATAAAAACTGGTGTATAGTTTATAATCCACATTTTAAACGTAAATTGAAAATGAAGCTCGGACAGGAGGATTCTTGCTGCTGCGGCGTCCTGAAGGTGTGTTTTCATTGGTCGGTCGCAGACAGGAATCGCTGGTTTTCAAGCAGTGCTTGTAGACCGTTAGAGGCTGGTTTGGGTTGTGGGACGTTTCAAAAAGCTGTCGCAGAGCCGGTCAGACAGGACGACCACAAATTTGCAAATCACCCTCACGGTCGCAGTTTTTTTTTTTTTTTACAATTATGCTCCCAAAGAGGGATTTGGCTAAGACGGCCACAAATTGCACAGTGTGATCCGGGTTTTAGGTGTTAAAATGCCAAACACGCAGCGAGGAAATAAGTTTCACTTTTGGTTTCACTAATTGGACACCAGGGGGTGCTAAAAGCAAGCTAAAACTGCTTAGCATCCTTTAATGTTTTCTTTTTTACACCTACCTTTTGCGTTACGAACTTCTTAAACATGGTTTTCTTGAGCTTGTCATGGCTCTTTCAGTGTCGCGTGGAAAAAGAAGAAACTGTTTTTTTTATATTGCACCTCTCAAGATAAAAGTCAATTAAGCAAATTTGTCTTTGCTTCCTCCTGGAATGAGCTAACTACATGTTACCTTGGTACCTTATCTTCTGTTTCAGTAAAAGAAAGCAGTTTGCACTGTTAACAAAGCAGAGATGCAGACAGCTTTGATTTTGCTTCAGAGAAGAGGGTATAATGGTTATTTTTACCTGGCTATGGAAGGATTTTTGCTGCTTATTTAATATGCACCAGGATTAAGAACCTGATTTATTTATTTCACACAGATTTTAAGTGCCTTGCTTTACTAATACCTGGTTATATATGAGCTAATGAAAACACCCAGGGCCCAAATGAAGTTTTTAAGAAATAATAAAATAAAATGTTTATTTCTTTCGGTTTCAGGCTGGACTGAATGGACACATGTACAAGATGCCTGATATTCCTGAGTCCTTTTCTGAACTCTGTGACATGAAGTAAAGTATCTCAAAATATAAAATTAATACATTTGATATTTTATCATTTAGACACACATTAAACTAGTATTTGATGTGGTTCTCTTGCTTGTTTTTTATTTTAAACCCAGTTATGAATCTATTTTTGTGTCTACCTTTTTCTCCCCCCATCTTAGTTTGACCCAGTTGTCAGAGATGTCTGAAAACGAGGATGTGTTACTGGAGTTCTTTATGAGTTTACCACAACTTAAACAAGTTACCAATGATAAAGAGGAGTTGATCACCAGTATAGTGGAGATGGCCAGTAAGTAACTCTTCTGTCCCAGCCTGAACAGGAAGCCTTCATCAGCAGGAACTTTATAAAGACGTGGAACTTTTTTTCTGGTCGTTTGCAGAGAAAAACCTTCAGATGGAGCCACAGCTGGAGGGAAGAAGACAGGAGATGCTCTACAAGGTCAGGTCTTTTTCTAATTGTACTCCACAGCAAAGGCATTCCTGCCACTCTCTGGCTGCTCATAATGTGTGTTTTGTCTCTATTGTGTGTGCAGTATGAACAGCTGACTCAGATGAAATCAGCCTTTGAGACAAAGATGCAGAGACAGCATGAACTCAGCGAGGTAAATGTCTAGTCATCACGCCCATGTCCAATCGTGACCCTGGAGTTCATTTCATCATAAAGTCATTATTAAATGGACAAATGTTGGGTCATTTAAAAATGACAGAAACAGATTTTAATTGTCAGTGTGCAAGTCTGTAGAGCACAACAGAAAGCCTCACATGAATCCTCCAAAGACTTTAAAGCAACACAAAGCAGTTTCCTGCTCCTCTGCCCTACTGGTTGAAAGTGGAGCTGTCGTAAACAACCCTGCTGCTTAGCTAACACTAACATGAACCAACTAACACTAAAATTAACCACTAAATAAAAAGATCCACGCTGTTGGTCAAACATATTACTTATAAGTCTAGTAGCAACAAAGCCAGGTCACCATCAGTTTGTGACATCGTAGCCTTCTTTAGCTCCCTCAAACTAGTTTAGGCCACGCCGATGATTACTCTGGTTTTAGCTTTTTGCTTCGCCTCCAAAGACGTTACTTTGTTACTTTTACTTCCAGGCTCTGCCATGATGCCAACGAAAAAGCAAACTTCTTTTTTTTTCTTGTGCTTTTTATTTACGATCGGCAAACTGCAAATGCTTACTGCTAGCATAACAGCTAACAGTTGTAAAGCAGGTAAAGAGCGCCCCCTATAGAGCACCTACCCACTCCACAAAACTGTTAAGTGCAGTATCTGGCCAGAGGAGTGACATCTAATATGAAACTGGTCAAACTGGTCAAGCTTCTAACTCAACAATCACTGAGATCAATGCTAAAGCTCTAGCCCAGGGGTGTCAAACTCAAATTCACACTGGGGCGGAAATGAGAATCTGGCACGAAGTCGCGGGCCAAACTTAATATTTTTTGAAAAAGTGACGGAAAATTTGCACATTTTCTTTATCAACATTTATGCAAAATTTGAACCTTTTAATTTGGAAACAAACTTATTTTTGCATTAACACTGAATGTGGAATAACCAAATTACACATGAGAAAGTCAGTTACAAATAAAACACATCAGTGGTATTCATTACTTGTGGTATATTCAGCATTTTTAAATCTATTCAGGATTTATGTTTTCTTGTTTTTTATTCATTTTTCTTATTTTTATTCTCCTTTTATTCTCCTGTAATAAGTGTCATCGCTGCTGTGACGTCTAGCTTTCCCCACTGAGGAACAATAAAGGGATTTTCTATTCTATTCATCTATCTGCAGCCTTTCCACTTCCTGTTTACTGTAGGTTAAATATTTTCTCACGGGCCAACAATAAAATAGAAATACAATTTTATCTTAAATGAAAATACAACATCTCACCTGTTAACTTTCATGTTTTGGAGCAGAAAAAGAGCATAAAACCTAAATGTTTAAAGCTCAGTTTGCTCCACTGGTTTACTGTGATGCTCACCTGTTCCAGCTCTGAGCTGAGGAGGAGACTCCTGTTGTTTTGTTCATCTTCATCATAATAATGACAACATTAGATGACAACAGGTGCTCACATAGGTTTGTTCTGGTGAACATGGCGAGCGTCTGAGCAGCTTGACCACGTTGTTGTGTGTCGGGGAGGTAAAATAAAAACTACAGCAGCCACAGAGCCGTGCTGATTTGAGCGTGTCGCTGCTCGCTGGTGTTATATCAGCTCTGTCTGGAAGTTAGTTGGAAAACTTTCTCTTTCAGTCGTGAACACATTACTGAGCGGTTAAAATCTCCGTTTCTGGGCTTCAACGTTGGCAAATAGCTGAGTAAACTCGGCCCTGAGTGAGGAGTGTTTAGTTTGTCCGAGACAGCGGAGCTACAGACACCGGCAGCAGGCGCTGAAAAAACACAAAGGAGACCACGCTTCGGCCGCAAAGCATCATGGGAGTTGCAGTCTTTGCGGTAAAATCAGCCAGCTGGTCAGTTTTAATATATTTTTGATATTTATCTCGCGGGCCACATAAAAATGCTCCGCGGACCACATCTGGCCTGCGGGCCTTGTGTCTGACACGTGTGCTCTAGCCTTAAGTTTGTTGTAACTTTAAAGCCAATTCCTCATAGATTGTAGTTGTGAAAGACTATTTAGACACTAAAAATTCTAACATTTCAACTTAAAATCGCATAGAATTTGTGTGACACATTTGCAAGAAGGTTAGATGGTTGTGTCGTATTGGGCATACAAACACTGCAAACAAATTGTAAAAATATGAATGTGTGTCATGTTAATTTGGATTTATTTATTTATTTATGTTTGTTTGTTTTTTGGCTGCAGTTTAGTCAAAACAGCCTAATGTCTTAATTTTTGCAATTTCTGACTCATGGAAGCAATATTGTGAAAGACATTTTTCTGACTATGCTCAACATTTCTGCGACAGTAGAGCAAGACTCTGACTACAAAGGAAACTGGAACCCTTCCATTCTGAGACATTTTGGAAGCTCCCTTGTGAATCTTGTTTGCCATTTGTGTCCCAACACAAAGATACTCACTTGATGCAGTCATAGCCATGCAATCATTATAAAACTCTTGAGTTGAGAGAATATATTTTCCTATCTTTCCACCTACCAGAGTTGCAGTTTGAGCACACTACAGGCTCGGTTAAAAGTGGCAGCTCACCAGGCGGAGGAGGAGTCTGAGGTGACCGCTGAAAACTTTCTTGAAGGACGCATCGACATAGATGAATTCCTGGCGAGCTTCATGGAGAAGAGAACGGTGGGAGAAGCTTAGATTTACTAGGAAAATTGTAGCTTTATTTATTTGTACTGTTTTTAATGCTTTCATGTCTTTTTATTTTATTTTATTTTTTGTTATTTTGCAGATTTGTCACAGCAGAAGGGCCAAAGAGGAGAAGTTGCAGCAGTCTATAAATACACACGGGCAGTTTCCTCCCAGCCACTAGAACACAAGGTAAAAGAAACAGACTCAACTCTGTCACATTCTACTCATTTGATTCCTGTTGGAGAGGAGACCTTCAGCTGACTCAGTTAGATAAATCAAATGTATCCTCTGTTCATTTATTTCTTTACATCATGTTTGTGCTCCACAGGTTTGGTGTTTTATCAGCAAACTGCTGCCAACTGATTAAAATGACTACATGGGGTTGAAAGCACACCGAGTCAATGATGGGCACTTTGGAATAACAGCAAGATGATGATGATGATGATGATGATGATGATAGGCTAAATCAGTCAAGACCATCCGAAATTCACCAACAAGAGGCCCGAAATGGAAGCACGAGTGACACGTACCTGGAAAATCCAGACACTCCATTAAGGTTTAACGTTGTGGATAATTTCCCTTTTTGATTTGGAAGTGATGATAAAAAATTTAATTTTGGGATGAATGTCGCACACGGAGATCACCTGCACTTGTTCAGGATGTTTGATACGAATACTTGTTGAAGGACAAACATTTAGTACATTATCACCAGAAAGGTGGCATCAGTGTAGAAAATGTGTGAAATGCTGAAGGTTAGTGTTTGTTTTCTTTATCTCTGATATCATTTTTCAGTCCTCAAAGGCAAACTGTCCTTTGCACATAATTTATTCTATTTCTTTGGCCTTTTTCCACATTTTACATGCATCCTATGATGGAGCATAAAGTCGATAAGTTGCCCGATTCTTTTTTTTTTTTTTTTGTGCAAGCGAACAAGTCAAATTTAGGATTTGGGATTGAAGTTATCACAGTGTGGTGTTGACTACAGACACTTTGAGTTGAATCTATGCTTTTTAACTGCAGAAGGTTATTTGTTAGAAAGCTGTTTTGATTTTACTCCTAAAAACATTTTGAATGTGGTCTGTTTGTAGAGTCGGGGATAATGTGATTTAAGAAGATATTGTTAAATATAGGGACTTCATTTTAAACACAACTTCATTCTTTGACCTTAATTAATTTATGTTGGATGCAAACACACTGATCACCACGTTGCCCCGATGAGTGCTGTAATGACAACACAACTGTTTTCTGACACATTTTCTGTTGTAACTTAATGGTGAAAAGCTTCAAAAGAAGTTGGAAAATGTCAAAGAATATTAGGAAAAATTCTGCAGTAAAGCTTAATGACATCGGATACTGTACTTAAATGTTAATAATAGGCTATATTATAATCCGAGACTCAGACATCTTGTATCATACGTTCTTATTTAATTTGCTAGAATAATAAACCTTTAGAATAAGTCTTGTTGCTGTTCCTTATGGATGTATAAAGCACCAGATACACTCAACAAACATACTCCTCTATCTAAGCAGCTGAGATAAAGAATGAAGGACCGTCTTCCACATAAGTGAACATTTGAAAAACCTTTCCAAGTGGATTTTATACAAAATATGTTTATAAATGAATGATCATAGTGCCAAATCATAAAAGCCAGTTAAACACCAACATGACAACATAGACCCAACCAACAGGCTTCAGTTTTAAATGTCGTGACAAATTGTTAATTGTTAATTTATTTTCTCACTCAGCAGTTTCATTCATCATTCATGCAAAATACAATCATCAACAGTCTCCCAAGTGAAAAAAAGGGGGAGGAGGAAGAAGTCTTGTATGACCTACCCCTTTCTACTTCATACAATATAATTTACAGAATGGCCTTATACACAAACCACGTATAGAACTTCCTTATCTTTGTAAACAAAATCACAATAAAACGTATCTATATACTTATTCAATATTAACTTATCAATGTAGGATTCTATGATTTTTTTTCTTTATATAGTCTCTTAAATTGATCGGTAGTTTAACATTTTTTCAGGTCATGATGCAGATTATTCCATAAATTTACTCGGTATACTGAAATACACATTTGCGTTAATGTTATTTGTGCAAAAACTCTTTTAAACTCAGGCTTCTTTCTATTTTTTCCCATCATTTGAAATCAAAACAAAAAACTCCTGTAACTTCACTGGCAGTAACCTCTTTTTTGCCCTGAACATAATTAGTAAAGTTTTCAAATTAACCAAATCCCCGAATTTCATAATTTTTGATTCAATAAAAAGTCTGTTGGTATGTTCTCTAGCGTCTACTTTATATATAATTCTCATAGCTTTCTTCTATGAATCTAGATGAAGAGTTTTGTTTATTTGTTAATTCATTGTTTAGAGGGTGCGTGTTCGTAATAGAAGCTGTTGCGTTCGTGACCCTCCTCACCAGCAGGTGGCGCTCGTTCAGCACCACTGGTGGGAAAAATCACGGAAACAGAGAAAGCGCGCCCCCTCGGAGAGAAGGAGCAAATTCTGCTCTTTTTTATTTTGTTGTCGAAAACGGTAAGTTAACAAATGAGCTGCTTGACTGGAAATTTTCTTACGGACACGAGTAAAAGGACGTTTAAAGTTGAACTCACGTGTATAAATGAACAGTTTCCAGCCTTTTGTTTAGTCTGAAGGAAAAATAAACCCTTTGAGACCAGCTAAGCTCTTTGAACCAACGTGCAAACACATGAAGTGTTTCACACAAGCAAGCTGTCTGTTTAGTATTTAAAACGGGTATTATTCAGTATGAGCTATAAACGGAATCATCCTCTTGGGTTTATCTTGACATCAAGTCACACAAATCCTGATTTCAGTCAATTTTCGCCAAAACCTTGTCAAGATCCTGGTTTGTGGTTCTTCATTTGTCTCCATGTGTTTTGGGTTTAATTTTGTGTCGATTCGCTGAAATGTATCATGCAGCTTATTGACTGCAGCGCAGTCAGCATTTGGAGGTTGCAGCAGTTTTTATCTGGTTATATTGAAGTGTTGAAGCTGTCAACATTAACAGGTGTTCACATTGGAAAAGACCACGATGGCACTAAATGTGTCCAAATAACTATTATGCATTTTCATATTGAAATAACTGTCGAGGAGTTGTTTCTATTATGATCTCATTTTTCAAATATGATCGCTGATTCAGTGTTTGTAGCCATGGCACAACATCTGGGAGACAGCCATCGAAGGTTCCTGCAGAAAATGATGGTCAGCGGCATCATTGATGATAAAAAAGCAAAGGCACTTCATCAAATCTGCTGCGAAACACACAAAAGTGAGTTCATTATTACATTTTCACACATTTATAAACATTGACTGGTGTGGAGTAATCAGGTCGGGGAGTTAGTGCAGAGTCCTGAATGATATTTGTAACATTGAATAGATCAGTGTCCTCACTATTGAGATTTTAAGTTGGCATTTTACTTCCAGAGATAATTAAATGGCCTTTAATCATGAATCCAGTGAAAAGAATAAAACATTTAAAACCTCACATGTAGATTCAGGCAGTTTCAGTGTGTTTACCTTACTGTCCGTCTTATTTTTAGAGACTTTATGTTGTCTGACTGTAAAAAATTACCTTCTAAATCACTCTTTTTCTTTACTTTGACAGCACAATATGCTCCTGACAAACTGGATGAGTTCATCGAGACCATCAACTCAAAGCTGCAGCCGCTGTTCATGCAGATTAGGAAGGGGATGTCTGAGGAAAATGGTCAGCAGTTCTACGCTTTGGTTAGTGAATTTAACTCCACTTTAGTGTTCACACTTAGGTTAATTCCCTCAAATAGGAATGTTATTGACGGTCCAGTGATTTGTATCTGTTTAGTATGTCAGGAGAATTATTGCATGTTGTTGTTGAAGGTCGTTCTGCTCTGATTCTTCTGGCCAGGTAAACACGGCTGAAACTGAAATCACCAGGATGTCGTCAGAATATGCCGATAATGAACTGGAGTTGTTCAGAAAGACCGTGAGTGAAGTTTAACTTTCTCAGACATTGTTCTCAAACACACACATACATTTTGCTACTATATTATTACAGACTTAATGACTCTGTTCTAATTCAGATGGACCTGATCGTGAGCTCTGAAAATGGCACAGCTTCCTCCACTGACATCCTGAACAGCGCCGACATGATGATCACTAAGAAGCTCAAGAAGAGTGAAACAGAGCACCTTTTAACTCGACTTGTGAGCGACAAATGGCTTTGTGAGGTAAAATAAAAGTCTGCACCAACATTTGAGAAAAAATATCACAAATCCCACAGTTTTTGGTCATTTTAACCAGTTGTACCATCTCAGGGTTTCCCTTACATAGGCGTAGCCGTGGCGGCCCGCCACAGCTGAAATCCCACCGCTACGCCTACAAGATCCCAAGTTTTTTTTTAATTTTATTGTTATTTTTTTGCGCTGTTTCCTGAAGAAGCAGCAGGAACTACTATGTTGTCGCTTGTGATCACAGCCGGCGGGCAGCAAGGAGGAGCAGGCAGGGCAAGGTGAAGTTACAGCATAAGTTACTGAGTTTAAAATTAGAAAGGTAGCAGTGGATATAATGCTTTTTGGTTTATGTGTTTCAATAGCATTAAGATAAACGAGTGACAGGGTTTCCTCCCCCCACCAGGCTAAGCATCACTTATTCATGTAAAATTGATTTATTTTTTCATGTCTGACTTTAACCGCATCTAATACTGTATTACGGCGTGAGCGCAACAGCGACAACTTAAGATCGATGTGTGAGCAGCCTGAGCGGTCGGGTGTTTCATCTGAACCCTTAAAACCTCCAGCAGGCTACGTTGCACTATTGACGTGTTAGCGTGCGGCGCTAACAACTTAGCGACGTGACATGTCTCGGAGAAAGCGTAAAAACACGTTGGACGCTTCTTCTGAAGCGGGAAAATAACGCTTCTTCTTAAGCAGAGCACGACGTCGCCTCGGCTCGTTCACGGCCGAGCCGGACTGAGCTCGATAACACTGACCCAGCACAGCCACTGGGTCGTTGGAGCTGCCCCGTGACTGCCTGATGGAAAACCAGCGGGTTTCGTCAGACTCGTAGTTTCTTGTTTTTGCTGGGGACCCCCTGTATTTTACCGCTCCCTCCTGCAGTCTTCCCCTATTAACATTTAAAATGATTCTGTAAATTACGTGTATCAATAGAAAAAATCTCTACCTCTGCCAGCTGCAGTAAATGTAGTCTCCAAATAATAAATAAGAGGTGCATTCATCTGTGCATCTCCTTTGATCCGCATTAGTGATGTTCTCAGCACCAGAACAGGGAAGCAAAGAAACAGATTCCTGAGTTTGTTTGTAATTTTATTTATTAGGTGCATCTAACCTGTTCTATTTTTCTCTGAAATGAGATCAAATCAGTGCTTCTATGGGTTGTCTCCACACTGCACTGGAAAATTTTACTTTATTTAGAGACGTGTCACAATCACTCCCCACCCCCACCCACCGCCACAGCTGGGAAAATTCCTTGGGGAAACTGCATCTGATTCTGCTCTTATTTTTTCTAACAATATAGAATTTGTGTGTGAATTTGTAGTTGTGTGTGAGAAACTGTTACACCAAGTTGTTGACTGTTATTAAATAGCAAGCATTGTTTTAAAATTCAGTGTACATATTTATATTTTTCAGACAAACTTTAAATTGAGCTTGAATGCATCCCACAAAAACACATTACCTCCGTCTGCCACACTGAAAGGAATAAAGTTTATCCATTTAGATTTGGTTTCCAGTTCTCTGCACACAGACTTCAGGATAAAAATGCTTTTTCACAGCTAGATTATATATAAAATAACAGATCTAAACAAGTCTCTCGTAGTCTGAGTTGAACAATGACTTAAGAGATTATATTAAAGCAGTTTGTTCCCTTCTTGCTGTGTTTTTCGTGTGATTCAGTGTTGTTTACCCCCTTAGAAACGAGGGGAGTACACTCTGTCCACTCGGTGCATCATAGAGATGGAGCCATACATTCGTGCCATGTATCAAGATCAGGTCAAGATGTGCTACATCTGTCACAGCGTTGCTTTTCAGGTAATTGTTCCCTTTTTACGTCATACAACCTTTTTCTGTTGTCTCTATGCTCGGGTGGCAAATTCCTGAAATTATTTAGGTATTAATACTAGGGCTGCTCGGCTATGGCAAAAATGATAATCGCAATTATTTTGACTGAAATTGAGATCTTGATTATTTAATGTTGAGTGTATTTATTTATTTATTGTCATAAATTTGCACAGGGCACAATCAGAGAGAAAAAAAATAAAGAAACAAGATAATCACAAAACTCCAGATTCCTAGTATCTAAGAGCCTGTAACAACCATTTAACCAGTTCTTATTTTTGTTCACTAGATGTCCTTCTAGAGGTAATTGATGGTACCATATAGGGAGGAAGTACAGGTGTTGTTATATGGACAGAGCAAACAAGCTTTTAACCGCCAACTCTATGGGTTCATCCTGGTAAAATCTTCTGTCTGTTTTGGATCATTTTTTGTATTTTGATAATTGAAATTAATTTGAAGATGGAATATCACTGAGAAGAAGAATAAATTAATCTGAATGAAGCAAGATGATGACGTTTTGGACACTGTTATTCACCAGCCAGCAGTGAATGGAGACAGGTGGCAGCAAGCGTGTCCATGTCAGCGGCTTTAAGTGGAGACTCAGCCGATGCAGAGCAAATACACTTGCTCATCGTTTATGACCGAAAGGGTTTAGGCTGAATTTGAACTTGTTTACTGAAACTCTAATTTCCCTCTGGGATTAATAAAGTATTGATTGATTGATTGATTGATTGATTAAGCTTACCCAATGCAGACCCAAACATCCAACCAGTATCTTGCAAATACTGACAGCAAGAGTTATAAAGTACATTTATTATATAAAATAAATATATAAAACATATAAACATCTATGTCGTAGTGAACTTCCGCAAAATTTTCTATAAGAATTATTTGGTCCTCCAGCGGTACTGTAGGGGAGAGTACAGGAGCAATGTGTCATTCAGAGAGATGAAGTTAAAGAGCAAGTCACCCCCAAATCACATTTTTTTTTGCTGATAAACTATTTAAAGGAGTGTCTAATCGTGCTGCAGACACATGTCCTCAATAATTTGGCAGTTCAGTGCATCTTGGTTAAAATTCAAATATTCTGCCTATAACTGTCAGTGTTGTGCCGTCGTCAGGGAAAAATTCTGCACTGTAATTGAATTTAAATCTGCCACCGCTATTGGCTAAGAGGTATGCTATGATGTCATCTGGTACATTATGATGTCACAATGCCGTTGTGAGCCTGTGTGTGTGTGTGTATTTGTTAGCGGCTCCGCCCTCTCGGTCTGCCAGGCAACAGCATTTGTTGCATTTTTCAAACATGAAGTGGGAGTGAAGTAAGTTTCTTGTAGGGGGTGACTTGCTCTTTAAAGTCCCATCAGTTGTCACACACACTGATGTGTGTGCGACATTTGCTCTCCGCCTTTGACCCATCCCCTGTGGGAGCGGTGAGCTGCAGACACAGCCGCGCTCAGGAACCATTTGGTGGTTTAACCCCCCAGTCCAGCCCCTTAATGCTGAGTGTCAAGCAGGGAGGCATTGGGTCCCATTTTTTTCAAAGTCTTTGGTTTGACCCGACCAGGAATCGGACCCTGATCTCCTAGTCTTAGGGTGGACACTCTACCACTAGGTCACTGAGCTGAGAGGTGAATGATGAATGATTATCAGCATGAGAAAGTTATTTTTATCTATTTCTAACTTATTTCTATACTATTTGTTGGCAGGTCCCATCAGTTAATGTAATAACTGTCACAGGTATTTTGCACCTGCCACCCCTCTCCCTGCTTTTACAGCGATTGGAGGTGCGATCACACACATCCTCTCCTGGTCTCACGGCAATCAGGGGCACACTGTGTGTGTGTGCGTGTACAGCGTGCCACGAGTGTACGTTTTGCGGCTCAGGAGCCAGTGTGTGTCGATCCGGTTAACCTGTGAGGAAGCCGGCTCTGAGAGCCGTTTCGTTTGCGACCGACACATCGCTGCATCATTCCCTTTTCTAATCTCCAGACGGCCGGTCCGGAGAGATGGCTGAGTGTTTTCCTATCCTGCAGGAAATATCGATGACAGTTATCCAGAAAGTAGCTAAGGGTTACTAGAAATGTTTCTAGATAGTTCAGTAGGTACTTTTAGAAAACAAGTAAAAGAAGGGAAAAGCGGTTAGAAACAGCCACAAAGTTGCTAAAAGTTGTCAACGCTGCTTAGAGGTGCACTCAATTTGCAACTCGGAGTAAACCACAAGGGAGGAGTAAATAATCGGCTCGTTGTTTTCATAATCGTTCAAAACTCAGATCGTAAATGTGATTAAAATGCAATGAATTGAGCAATCTAATTCATGTTAAGAAATTAGACTTGGACAAAGTTTGAATCATGACCAAAAGTGCTGTAATATTCAAATGTAACATTAAAAGGCTTTTTATTATAAACAATATTTATTTTCTTTTATTTCTTTTCCCCAAGTGCCAAATTTGCGACAACCCCTCATGTGGAATAAAAATCCACAGCCCGTGTGTGGCCAGATACTTCAAAGGCAGAACCGAGCCACACTGCCCTTCTTGTGATGACTTCTGGCCGCACGAAATCCCAGGTTGTTATAATTATTCATAAAAACTGTTGGTACCTTTTTTTTTTTTTTGCAAAATATTAAATCTCAAAATCTACAAGGAAAATTATATTATTGACAGTTCTGTAGTTTGTTTTAGTTATAAAACACTAAATATTTCATTTGTAACATGATTAAATGTTTTATTTTATTATTTATTTTTTGCAGAGGTCAGAGGGCTTCACTCTCAGTCCAAGCGATGAGGACTTCATATATGTTGTTTTAATTTGTTCAAGTATCTCGTTTCCTTTAACCAAAGTTTGCTTTTAACATGTATTAAAATATTTATACAGAAAAAAAACCTGAATTTACCTTCATTAGTGTCTCCATGTAGACAGTTTTCAAAAGCATTCATTATTGCACTCAATTTGTGTTTGTTGCAGTGTCTATATGAGTTATTTCTGCTATGTGTACACCATATGAACATTAGTTATTTGGAATTAAAACTAATTTCTGTCCAACCATCAATAGTTGTTCAAAGTATAAAATATAATTTGATGAAGTCAGAAAGTTATGGAAAAGAGGTTTTAGCCATCGGTTGATCCAGATTCTTACATCCTTACACAGTTTTTTGCACATATTGATAAAAGAAATCAGTTTAAATAGAGAATATCCTAAAACATTTAAATGCAGAAACAATATAAACACTTTTTAGGTAGATGATTTATTGCATAAATCTATTAGTTAATGTAAAAACATGCATGCATGCTGCACAGATATGCATTATATATATATATATACATACAGGAGTAATTATTTTCTAATACAAGATTCTTGAGTTGCACATATCTTCTCTAATGAATCCTAACAGCAGGTTGCATGGCCCACGTTTTAAATAGTCCCAAGAAATCAAATCTGAGCTGCAGCCTAAATGTGCATCACCTCCCACCAGCTGTCTGATGTGCTAACATTTAAAATATGTTGATCTGAGATGAGTCCTGTTTTAGTATTTTCAGGGTGACGATTAAATGAGTAGTTTTCCTAAACCACGGGTAAAAAAACGCATATATGAGAGGGTTCAAGCAAGAATTAAAATACAGCATCCAGGACACAATGGCCCACGAGGACGAGTTGTTTGAGATGTCTCGTCCTGCAAGAGACGGATAGTAATAAGGACAGAAAGCCAGTAGGAAGACTAATATCACAACACCGAGGGTCCTGGCTGCTTTCCTCTCAGATTTCTGTGCCGTGATTTTCCCCAGGCCAACTGCAGGTGTGACATGAGACTGCGTGGCCCGAGCCTGAGACACCGCCACGACAAATACTCTGACATATAGAAGCACTATGACTGAGCAAGGCACAATAAAGGTGATCACGAGGTCGATGGTCCCACAGATGTAGCTGATCACCACCAAACACTCCCCGTAGCAGGAGTTGTATCTGTCTGGCTGCCTGAGGTGCTCCTTCAAGATGAGCCCGTTGTAGAGGAGCGAGCAGAACCAGCACAATATCACAGACACCTGGACTCGGCTACGGGTGACCTTAGAGGGGTATTGCAGAGGATAACAAATAGCAACGTAACGATCGATTGAAATCATCACCATGTTCCCCACAGAGGCCGACGTGAGGGTGAAGCCGACGATGTAAGACAGAGCGCACATGAGATCGCCCAGGAGCCAGCAGGGCTCCACGTAGCGCACTGTCTCCACCGGCATCACCAGCAGCCCCACCAGGAGGTCTGAGATGGCCAGGGACAGCAAGAGTGTGTTGGTGGGGGTCTGGAGCTCTTTGAAGTAGGAAATGGAGATGATAACCAGCAGGTTTAGAGCTACTGTGAGTACAGAGATGGAGGAGAGCAGCGTGTAGATAAGGACAGCCTCAGAGCGAGGACGTATCAAACCTCTACAAGACATGTTGAGGAGCTGAGGGTAGCAGAGATCATCTGCACTCAGGTGGTTCATGATCCCGGACTAAAGAGCTGCTGAGTTCACACATCTCTGATTCACCAGAAATCTTCATCCCAGCTCCTCATCACTGTTGTAGCTGCTCACCAAACCCCCTCTGTTTCTTTTTTGCTTCCTCCCTCCCTACCTCACTGTTTTTGCCCCACCCCATCACCCTAGGGCATGATGCAAGATTTTGATATCTTGCCATCTCCAAACCTTTTAATGTTGTTCATTCAAAATCCCAGAATGAATTTTGACTCCATAAATCAGTGCAAGAGTCTCGAAAAAGACCAAAATCAGCATTTACCTGGATTTAAAAAACTTAGTATAACCTTTTCATCATCAGAAAAGAAAAATAAGCCTAGAATGTGATGCTAAGTTTGTGAAAACACATATGACTTGAAATGTGTGTATTTGATCTCCTTTTAAGTGTAGCAAAGAGCAGTTTCAAGTAAAATAAGCAAACAAATTCATCCTATGAATCATCAACAATTAATGTCTAGTTTCCAGAGAATAACAAAGTTTTCCTGAATGCAAAAGTGATCAAAACAACAATAAATATTTTTCTTTCCCTCTTGTGTTGCAGATTTTTGAGTCTTAATTGTTTAGTTCTGTGTACTTTTATCTGTAAATGTTTAATCCAGTATTTGATCGCCTTGATTGTCTCTGAACACTTGAGACATTTATCACTTGTCATGCTTGGAGAGAAAAAGTGGTATTTTCCTTCACATTAATGGGATCTCAGCCTGACTAAAGCACCAACTGTCTAAACTAAACAAACTAACTGAATCAATGCTTTTGATTTGTCAATTTGGCTTCTACAGTTTTTCTTATTATATCCAGAAGGTTTTTCATCTTAATCACAGTGAGAAACAGACTAATAGCCTCGGGTATTGGTTTATTTCTTCTGTCTTTTGTCCTTTTGACTCTTTACAATATGATCATAAATTTTTAAATTAAAACAATTGTTGATGTTAACTAAGCTTCATCAAGTTTGGGACTTGTGTTGCAACTGAGAAACCGATAAAAATCAACATTCTTAACGTGTTGCAGAACCTGCGGCGTTTGTGATTTTTACCAGTATTCTACAACTTAAACACATTAACGCCTCTACCTACTAATTTTAAAACAGTATTTTTGTTTTGTAAAAATGCAAACAAAGCTGCAACTCATGAGTTCATTCTAAATTCACATAGATGTATTTGGGAAAACATTTAATCAAACTAGAGATTATAAACAAAAATGTGTTTCTCACCAAACTTGGTTTAAGTTTAGATGCTGGATTGTGTAAAAAAAAAAAAAAGAATCAGAACGAAAAATGTCACAAATAAAGGTCTATAAAAGAATTTAATCACATAAGCTTCTCAGAAAAAATCTTTTACAAGCCTGCATTCAGCATTTAGAGGAGTTATTGTTGCCACAGATTCTCCAAGGTGGCTAATATTAATGTTAAGTTGTGTTTTTGGTTTATTTCTTTCATGCACCACTTCAACATTCAGAGAACTTGGTAAGAAACAGAACCAGCAGCGCGAGATATTTACTGAAATTAATCTGGGATTTTTGTTTCTTTTTTCATGAGAAGCACTCAACTAACTTCCAATGCAGTTTTAAGTTTTTAGTCTGCTAAAAGTTCCTTAATAGGGAAGACAATTTCATCATGTGTTGTTGTGAACTTGTTCTTATTAACACCTTTGACAGGCGGCCACCTGTGGATTAAAGTGTTATCAGACATAAAAACAAGGTGGCGTCCCTCTGGTGCAATGCACAGGTAAACTTTAATGTTATTCACTTGTCAGCAAACAGTTTGTGTTGTAAATCTGTTTTAATGATAGTCAACATTACATTTACTTATTAAAATTATATAATATATTAATATTTTATTAGAGCTTTTAATTGAATATTTGGGTTTTGATAGAAAAGTAAATACATTTTTTATTGTATTTGATTAAAACAAAGTTGATGGGACTTCATAGAAGGGGAACTTTTCATAACAATACCTTATAAGGGCAGCAGTAGCTCAGGTGGTAGAGCGGGTTGCCTCATGATCGGAGGGTCATGGGTTCGATTCCAGCTCCCGCCAGGGGTATCCTGCTGTTGTGTCCTTGGGCAAGACACTTCACCCAACTTGCCTGTGTTAGTGGTGGTCAGGGGGCCCGACGGCGCCAAATGGCAGCCTCGCCTCTGTCAGACCTCCCCAGGGCGGCTGTGGCTACAAGTAGCTTACCATCACTAGCAGTGTGTGAATGTGAGGGTGTGTGAAAGCGTCTTTGGGTGTCTAGAAAAGCGCTATATACGTTCAATGCGTTATTATTATTATAAATAATAATTTGCTGACTCTAATTTCATTGAACTGGATTCATTTCATTTATTTATAAAGCCCCTTCTGCGACCAATGCAGACGCCCAAGGTGCTGAACGCAACACAATAAAAACATCTGAATAAAATATAACAATTGTAAAACCAACATAAAATCAATTAAAAGAGGAGAGTAAAAGCAAAAAATAAATTCCCGAAAAAGATTAAGAGGCCGGGGCATCGGAACCGGGTAAAATTTGCTAATCCTGGAATGCCTTGACAAAAAATGGTTCTTAAGGCGAGTCTTAAAAAACCCCAATGAGGGTGACTGACGCACCGCCAAAAGCAACTGGTTCCAAAGTGCAGGTGCCAACACCGAGAACGCACGTTCCCCCCGTGACCAGCACTTAGTGCGTGGAACGATCAACAGCTCCCTGCCGACTGAGCAAAGGGCCCGCGAGGGGGCATGCCTATGCAAAAGGTTGCCAAGAAATGCTGGAGCAGTTCCTTGTAAGGCCTTGTATGCCAGTACCAAGACCTTGAATTTTGCCCTGTATTGCACAGGCAGCCACTGAAGGGATGCCCATCATACCAATCAAGGGATACCCTGACTAAGGCCGATATACAGTGCATTGCAGTAGTCGAGCCTTGACAGAGCAAAAGCATGTGTGACAGTCTCTAAACGTACTCTGGACAGCTGGGGCTTAATTCTGGCTAGTCGACGTAAGTAAAAAAAAAAAAAACACGATCGCACAACCTGGTTGATTTGCACGTCAAATTTAAGGGTTGAGTCCAGTTGCACTGCCAAATTTCGGATGGTGGTAGCTCAACAGGTTGAGCGGGTTGTCCAGTAATCGGAAGGTTGCAGGTTCGATTCCGGCTGCCGGACTGAGAATTCTGCTGTTGTGTCCTTGGGCGAGACACTTAACCCACCTTGCCTGCTGGTGGTGGTGAGAGGGACCGGTCGCGCCCATTCTTGGCAGCCCCGCCTCTGTCAGTGCGCCCTAGGGCAGCTGTGGCTACATTGTAGCTCATCACCATCAGTGTGTGAATGTGTGTGTGAATAGATGAATGGTACACTGTAGTGTAAAGCGCTTTGGAGTCCTTACTCTGAGAGGCGCTATACAAGTGCGGGTCATTTATCATTTACCATGATCAATCATGACCATGATGAAACCAAGGTAACCCGTTGCCTTAAAATTTTAAGTAATGAATAATTAGTTGAATTGATGCAGCTGAGTATGTTCAATGTACTTAAGGCCTTAATGGGATGAAATTAAAGATTTAAGTTGAATATACAAATAATAAAAGTTGCATTAACTTAAGATAATTAGTTTAACCAATGCCCCACCATCCATTTAGTTAACTCAACTCATCAAGATCAAGAAAGCCTTACTCAATTACTTATAAAACTACTGTACATTGTGCATTTTAACTCAACAAACTTAACTTTTATAATACATAAAAATCAAAATATAATATTCAATCCAAAGAGCCAAATAAATACATACAAAATATTGTATTAAACATTTAAATCTCAAATAACACATTTGTCCATGGAAAGAACTGAAGGGTACAAAAATGTCTGAGGTTTAGTTGTTGAGATATTTTACTATTTATGTATTATTTATTGGTTTCCAGGGCCTGTCACTTATGTTTTTGCCCTGTTGTACATCATCCACTTCAAAAATAATCCAAACATGAAGGGGAAGCTCAAATGCATAAGTGAGTGTGAAACCTTCAACAATCGGTACTGAGCATCAATGGAGGCTCCAGCTCTGTGCAGACACATCTGTGAGTACTTCAGTGTTTGTGTTGAACCAGAACAGCTTCAAGACTAACAGCTTGTTTCTGACTGCAGTAATAATATCATTTGTCCTGCTGACCGCACAAACACAAGGCTTTTACACTGCTCAGGATCATGGTGAGTTTACTTACTTGTTTCACCTCTCTTGGTGTGTCCTAAGGCAGCTGTGGCTACATCGTAGCTTCATCACCATCGGTGTATGAATGTGTGTGTGAATGGATGAATAATACACTGTAGTGTAAAGTGCTTTGGAGTCCTCTGGCTCTGAAAGGGACTATACAAGTGCTGATCATTTATCATTGATCATAATTTACTCACATAGTTGTGACACTCCTGGGAATTGCGTTAGTGTTAGGGTTTTTAACAGCCAAAGCACAAGTTCAGTAGGAAACCACCTAAAAGCATCACGTGTGTGCTGGCATCTCTAAGCTGGCTCCCTTTAAGGGTTAGGGTTAGGGTTAGGGTTAGGGTTATGGTCTCAAGGTCTCATGCATTCCTTCTAACCTGCTTATTTTCAGCTCAACAAAAGAATGAAGAATGAACCATTTTTTTTAATTAATCAAAGAACTGTATTTTAATAAAGCTAATCCATCAAAGTGTTAGTCAATAAATAAGATGTGACCGATCTGTGAAATCAAAATACTAATTACTTTATTATAATCCTATAGAATATAAAGGTACTGTGACTTTAAGTGTTCCAACATGACTCATTTCACGTAGCGTTAAAAGACATAACACATTACTTTCACTGATCCAATCAGAATCTGACAGATCTGATGGAGGCGTGGTTTTGATGGTGTTTGGTAATTTTTCATTCGACAATAAACCAAAACATCCGAAGTATAAAACTTTGCCACGTCAGCTCTATCGCCAGTTCAAGGTGTTCCAGAGAAAGTGACGGAGTGGCCAATCCTGATCTATACTCTTCAACCAAAAAGAACCAACGACACGCTGAAAAGTTCATTGCTGTTCCAACTGCTGCAACAGTTCCTTTCAGAATAAAAGCTGAACCATCAAGACCCAGGCTTGTGTCTCACCAGACGCCAACAAATTGTCGTGACTCGGACGTATCCCAGGACCGGTGGTCAATTGCCGTGGCTTTTTCTACAGGCTTCGGCTCCATAAGGTCAAGCTGGACCTT